TTTTTTTTTTTTTTTTTTTTTTTTTTTTTTTTTTTTTTTTTTTTTTTTTTTTGCTTAAATCATACATCCAAATGTCGAGTGCGAGAAATTAAGTGTCAATAATTCAATCGACCCATGAAACCATCGGTTACCTGATATTCTTTCTCATAATCTTCCAAGTTCTTAGTCAGCTTTTCAACTGATTTTCTTAGATCAGAAGCTCCTTCTTCAGCCTTTCTAACAGCAGAGGCTCTCTCTTCCACAGAGTTTTTTGAATCTTCTATATTACTAATCATCTAACAAAACCCACATTTAGAAATTAGAATACGTTTATCTAAATAACGAGCCAAAGATGTGAAATTCCATATGAACTAAAGATAACTATATAAGAATTTCAATCAAGTTCAAGAAGCTTGAAGGGACATATAAAATCATGCTTGAGATTGTAAGTCAGAAACCTTTTCAGCATTTTCCTTTTCACCCTTGAGAGTGTCTTCTGTATGCTCCAGTACAGTCGTTTCCCTAATCAGATCATTAGATAGCAGATCTACTTTATTTGTTAAAGTTTTTACTTCACCCCCCATATTGGCTTCCTTTTCTGCAACCAATGTGGTGACTTTTGTCTCCAAATCTTTTATTTCCGACTGCATCCTTACTGAACCGTCATCAATCTCTGAAATCTTTGCCTTCATTTGTTCTACCTGACTAACTGCACTATCCCTAACGTTCTCAGCCTGCACATATTCATAGGCTATGCAAAACCTCTTAAGCCTATCTAAGTCAGCATTTCCATTTGACCATTGCATGTACTGCATTCGTTCTTTCCTCAGCTTCTCTAGAGCAGGCAGTATCTCCTTGTCAAGAAGATTATTGATCTCATCTACCTTATTTTGCTTCTTGTCAAGTGTTTTCAAAGCAGCCTCTTTCTTTGTCTCGTACATTCTTGTCCCTGCAGCTTCTTCAAGCATAGATAAAATTTCCGGCGGTTTCATATTTAAGACTTTGGTGATGCGGCCTTGCATAATCAGAAAGTGTGGATTATTAACATTAAGCTGCACTGAGTGGAAAAGATTTTGAACTTGAACAGGCTGCGCAAGCTTCCCATTGATCAGATACTTGTTCCTCCCTCCAACCACAATCTGTACAATGTGCCAAATTAGCTTCAAACATCAAATTTGATAATTTGACAAAAGAAGAGTCCTTGATTGAGGGATAACCGTGTTTTTTCTCCTTACTTTCTATAAACACAGGAAACTATAGTTGTATGGTGTATAAGTTACTAATATCTAAATTTTCCACACGGCTAAGCTAGCTAATGAGAAATTCCAAAGGAAAAATATGAACAGCAGCATCTGTGCAGCAAATAATCAAGAAATTGTAGACCTCGATCGACAGTCTGTTTACTATCCACTACTAAACTGAGGCAATAGTAACGAAAAAATCAACTAGCGGAAAAAATAAAATTCCATAATATTTAAACAAAAAACATAAAGAACAGCTACAAAGTTACAACACCTGTCTGGTCACTGTAATCTCCTGGTGATCCTCATACCCAAGTGGACTCCGTTTCCTCTCAGAATTATCGAACACAATCGACACAGTTGCCTTGGTAATACCCGCTTGCCCCTGCTTGTACACTAGCTCCTGAAGATTTGAAGCTCGAACTTGCTGCAAATTGGTAATTCCCAGAACAAAGCAAATCGAATCGAGAATATTGGACTTTCCAGAACCGTTAAGCCCAGTAATTGCATTGAAGTGAAGATCGAAACCCGGTACAACAGTCCTCGTCGCGTAGGATTTGAACCCCTCCAGACAGATTTCCTTGATGTGCATCGTTCCCAGATACAGGGAAGGCTACAGCAAGAGGTCACAGAAGCTCAAAACCCAGATTACACTCAAATTCGAAAAACGAAAACGGTGTATTCTGAAAGAACCCCTAACAGAGATTGTTAGAAGGGTTGTTCAAACGCTAGTTAATCGGATTCGGAGGTCGAAACCCTAAAGCTCTGGATTTTCAGAGAGTTGTGGGAGAATTTCGAAGTGAAAAATATCTGAAGTTTGCTCCATCGACCGGGCGAGATATAAAAGAAGAGAACTCTCGAAGGCGGGAAATCGCTCAGTTCTTCATCGTCCCCATTTTTCAAAAAATATAATAATTAAAAAGAAAATAGGAGCTTTTTTATATTTTAAGTATTTTTCATCCGCAATTATTTTCTTAACATAATTTCCCGTTTTTTTTTATTTTAAATCAGACTTATGGGCCGCGGCCTGCATCCATGTTGGATCCATTTGAGGCCCAAATATTTTGGAAGCTTAGTTATTTTCATAGATAATTTACATAAATAACCAGACAAATTTTAAAAAGAAAACGTATAATTTTTATTGAATTTTCCCCAAATAGAAAAACATTAAAAATTGTAATAAGGTCTTGGATCTCTGCATCCATAGATGGTATGGCAGCGTATAATTATACATATTAATTTTTATAAATAGAATTTTCTACTATTACCACGAAAAAAAATACAAATACATCTAAAATTGATATGACTTGTTGAAGATGGTTGAGAGGAGTCGACCTCGGTTGATGATGGATTTATAAGTCAAACCTAATAAGATAGTATTTTGACATTATTGGGATTATTGTGGCTTAGAAATGCATGGTCAGTTTCAAGTGATTCATAGACAAATTAATCCATACAAAGTGAGTGGAGGAAATGGGAATATGATAAGCTGTTTGGAATCTAACTTGGAAAGCACCAGCACAGCCCAATGCACCGACGATTGCAGGGGTAAAGCTTCCCTATCCCCATCTAACATTTACAAGAAGCACAAATGCTTTTCCTTGTTTCTGTTGAAGGAATATTATATATATTGTTTACTTTAAAGAGAATAATAGAGTTAGAGAAGTGTTCAACTCCACAACACTAAATTCAATATTTTAACACGTCCCTTGTAAATTAAAACAAGTTTGAGTCACGTTTATGCATTCAACAAAAACTCCATCATCAAATCAAAACGTAATTTACTTTCCAAACGATTCGAGTTCATAAACCTAAATTATGAATTGCTTGCTTGTCCTAACACTGTTTGGATTCCGAGAAAATTGCTCAGAACAAAATCATAAATCCTATTGCAACAGATCCAAACACGAAATAACAGGAAGAGATTACATCTGAAGCTCTATAGGTATTAAGATTGGAGGATACAGAGATCACAATTCTAATTAATTACAAATCCTTGCTTTCCAGTTCGATGAATCAACATCGAGATCGAGCAAGGAAGAAGAAAGAAAGCAAAAAAGGCCGAAAATCATCAATCAATATGGACATTTTAATCGATCTACAAAGACGAAAAATAAAAAAGAGAGAGAGTTAGAAATTGAAACACCACAGAAACTTCAAGAACTCAAAGCATTTGAACGTTTCTAGCCTTCTCTTGCTTCTCTTTCTCAGAACTTCCACGGCGGACTCTGTTTCCAGGAATCGAACTGTTTCTTCAGTGAAAACTTCATCCCATACGTATCCTTTCATATCATCCTTTCCGAAAAAGATGTCTCCGACGACATCGTATTTCGAAGGACTGCTGCAAGACTTGCCGCCGCCGCCGCCGAATTCGTAGGGAAGGGTATCTCTCGCCATCTGCAACTACTCTTCAATAAACCAGAGTAAATGAAAAAAGTTGTATTTATACAGAGACGTATAAACAAATATTTTATTTATTTATTATTATTTTCTTCGACGACGGAAAATAGTTTAATAAGAATTTATTGCATTTAGATAAGGTTAAAAATTAGTTTTACTTGACAAATTTTTTAATTTGAATATTAATATTTTAATGGCCATTACTTCAAATATTAATTTTTTTTTTTTTTTTACTTTATTTAAATTTTTTTCTTTTATAATTCATATTTTTAATTATATAATATCTGGAGAAAATTTAAGATACAAATTGAAAGGACTCAGCGAGTTCATTACACTCTTGGGGTGGTCTGAGTCTCAGAGAAGCTCGCTGAAACAATCTAATGTATCGATGAGGGGATCTACAAAGCCTGCATTTCCAAACTGGTCTGCCCATTCCCCATGCTTGAAGATGAAGTGGTGCCTTCACCATCATTTTCCGACTTCATTTCTTGAACGGCGGGCGGGTTCACGATCGTCATTGGCACCACAAAGTTATCGGCTAGGCGTCCCTTCATCTCCCTGTGTTCTTGACAAAGCGCGCACCAATGCAGGCAGCAATGTGTCATGCAAGGATCACATGGGGAGTTCTGCAATCAGCAATACTACGATTAGCATACAGCACATGCGAAAATGTAACAATCCAAGTCTACTACTAGCAGGTATTGGTTGTAGCCCGTCACATATCGCTGTCAGCCTCATGAAACTCATCTGCTAGAGAGTGTTATCCACACCCTTATAAGGAATACTTCGTTCTCCTATCCAACCGATGTGGGGTCTCACAACTCACCCCCTTGGAGGCCCAGCATCCTCGCTAACACACCATCTAGTGTCTGGCTCTGATATCATTTGTAATAGCCCAAACCCACTGCTAGCAAATATTGTCCGCTTTAGCCAGCTGCATATTGTCGTCAGCCTCACGATTTTAAAACGTATTTGCCAGGGAGAGGTTTCCACACCCTTATAAGGAATGTTTCGTTCTCCTATCCAACCGATGTGCGATCTCACATAAAGCATATAGTATCCATTAGTCAGAATCTGGTTATTTTCGAGCCTGTAACCACAGATTGTCGAGTTAATAAATAAACACTGAATATTACCTTAAGATGATACTTCTTCTGCAAAGATTGGCGGACGAGTCCAGTGTATATGCCACACATCCACCAGGTAAACAACAATCCCTCACAAATGAGAAAAGAAATGTTTGGATCAATGCAATGGAATGCTGCAGTTGCCGTCGCCAAGGCAATGCCACCTTCAACAAGTATAGCGTGACAAACACATGGCTTTCTCCAGTCCATATCGTCGTCTCTCAAGCTTTCGACATTGCGCCCAAACAAAACACATGGACAGAACAGTCCAGTCCAACCTGTATACGCAAAATAGGCATATGAAACAAGCAACGCCAATAGTAGAGTTGCAGAAGTTTCAATTTTTAACATGTATCAGGTTTCCCATATGTTCTATGCATGCTAGATGAGGAAAGAGAGCAACCGAGGAAGCTAAGGGAACTAGCACTCCTAAGAATTTGTTTTGGTAAGAAACCGAATTGTCGCACCAAAAAATGAGGTGTCCGACACTAACTACAAAAAGGACTTCGGTCCAAAAAAAGCATTTCTTATAAGGGCGTGGAACCTCTCTCTACCAGACGCATTTTAAATCGTGAGACTGACGGAGATACGTTAGCAAAGCGAACAACATCTGTTAGTGGTAGATTTTGGATGTTACAAATGATATCAGAGCCAGACACCGAGCGGTGTGCCGAAGGGGGTGGATTGTGAGATCTTAGATGTTCATTGAGCGGTGTACCGAGCGGTGTGCTTATTACTATAATTCATTGACAAGGTATGTAATTGTAAGTCTTAGATGTTCAGAAACACAAGTCATTATCATAGTGTAAAGCTGTTCACCAAGATCCCACCTGAGAACCATAGATTAAGAAGAATACTATATATATGGAAACTTACAACTTTGTGGATCTTCAGTGCAGCCAAAAATCCCAGTTGTCCAAGGTTCATCCGCTGGAGGCTCGAAGCTTTCGGGTAGCGCCTGTCCACACTCGTTGCATTTTCTTACATCTAACTGAAATTCATCCAGAGAATTGCAATAGTAAAAAGTTACTTGAAAATTATACAAATTTCATACACATAATATATATAGCACAACCCAGAAACCTATAGAATATGGTATCTAAACAGGAATCATAGTACGCATAAAAAGAAGTCAAACAGCTGCAAATCAAGAAAATCAAAGATGTTCCATTGTAATGTAAGACTCTACTGCAGAAGGCAAAGAAGATCTATTCAGGCTTTAGAGACATCACTTAAACAACCTCACCGATATCTAAAAAACGAACGGTTTAACAAGTATGAATGTTGTTAGCACATTATCGACACACAATCAATAGCCACGGAGCGAACATCATCGAATTTTAGCCTTCCTCCATCGTTTATCATTCATCAATCTTATTAAACAGCTGATTTACCCTGCATCTTTTAACGTATCAAAAAACGCCCACAATTCGAACCTATAACCTCAAGAACATTTAAATATGTAGCTTTCTCCTTTGATCATTGCCTCCTGGACTCCTTGAATTTATGATACTCTCTCACCATTAAAATACCAATTCTACATTTTCAATGATATTCTTTAGGGAACTTTTACATCGAAATGCACAACTTCAAGAACAATGAATCTACTCACAATTGGATCTAACAGAAAAAAACTACAAAATCTTAATGTTATAAGAGAAAAAGCTCGAACAACAGAGAGAACTGTCAAAAAGAAGCAGTAGCAAAAGCAATTCCTAGAAATGTAAGGTTTCCCCTCTCAATTAACCTGAGGAACTTCAATGGGCTGGTTAAGCTCCCCCGGCTTGATATCTTCTAAAGGCGCTTGATCTTTCTTCAATTTCACATACCGCGAAGGCGCAGCCCCATCCCCCATCTAAGATCGTGCACAAACAAAAGAAAAACGATAGATCATAAACCCCGTAATTTATTCTGAAAATAGTAAGTAACTTGCATCCAATCCAACATTCTTCCATCCCTTCAAATGCATTGGATCCATAGAACGGGGAAGAAACGTTTTATATTCAAACGTATAAGAATCAAACCTTGGAAACGATTTGGACCCTTCAACCAAACTTTTTCGGGGAGTGTGAAAAATGCGAAGATCAAGGTGAAGAACACCAAACAAAAGAATGTAAAGATTCTTACCGAGCCTGGCAAGAAAATCGACTCGCCCAACGAATCTTCAGCGGAAATGGCCGCTTAATTATCGAAGATCTGATTTCCCCCGAGATTCAGTGACCTTGAAGAGTCAAGTGATCCACAATTTTCCCTTTTGACTTGTAGAAAGAAGTAAGAACGGAAATATAATACCGAAGTAATCAAATTCGATGCGAAATGGGCGGGTACGTGGTAGACATCACTCCCCGAACCGCCCGGATTATGTTTCGCGGAGATTTTTGGAAATTATTCCTTTTTTTTTTTTTAATGGAATCAAATCTGATTTTGGTTTTCGAATAATTGTTGATTATATCAACTCAAAAGGTCAAATCTTTATGTTGATGAATTTTAGCGTGTATCATTGAAAATTTGAATTCTCACTTCACATGTTGTTGAATTTAAAAAATTTGTAATGTTCGAGATAAATCCAATGTCTGACGTCCCATAACTGAATTTCTATACCTCTCAACATCACCACATACAACTTTTAATGTGAAAATGTAATATGATTTACCACTAGATTGACATACTTAGAAATCTATTCCTTCAGAGAGTAATTTATATAGTTTAATGTCTAATATAATATAGACACGTAGAAAGCAGAGCAACGAAGAAATCTCATGAAGGTGTGTGTATGGGCTATTTTGAGAGCTTCTGAAAACCGGTTCTTGGCTATGTAAATTACACAGAGCAGGCAGTAGGGAATGTATTGACAGGATCAAATGAAGATATCGACTTGTTAGGAAGCACCCCAACAAATTACCTAATCTAAGAAAAACTAATATGGTGTCTAATGCAAGCTAATTGTATTACCTATTAACAATAATCAATGTTAATGATCGTAAGGCCAAAGATATTTCAGTCAAAAAAGTGCTAATCTAAGTTGACACGCCGCATCTTACATACAAGGTTTGCTGTTGGGAGATCGAGCTCCTTTCCAGAATCAGATTTGAGAAGATCTTTCAGCTGGTCTCTTGGAGTTGAAAAGCAAGTTAGGAATGTTGCAAGTGCGGGAGGAATCTGCATTGATAGGGCAGAGAGCACGTTAGTCAGATACTCGACATCGACAGACAACTGTTGCGCCCCACGATCGGTAACATATTGTATGCCGCGCAGTTGCTCTGTGTAAAGCGCAGCGGTACCCTCAGCAACCTGAAAACAGAACAGAGATTCACATTAGGTGTGTCATTACAAAGTCACAAAAACAGAGGATGATGATACATTGATACTCTATGTTTTGGTAACTAACGCCGAGATTCGGGATAAAGGCATCGAGTATACATAATGAGGACAAATAAGTTAGACCAGAATTTATAAAAAAGATAACTGGGTTGTTTTCTTTAAATTCTTCAATGTATGAATGTGACTTTGGTACCTTGCACATCCATTCTGCAGCGAAAAATTGAGCCTCGTCATTGTTGGCATTGCTATTAGAGATACCCTCAGCAAGTGGCTCCAGCTGTTGGGGTAAAGTGAGAAGATATTCACCAACACTGGTAACGTAAGACTGGGGGTAGGAACTGAAGATTGGAAGCGGAAAGGCACTAGGTTCCTCAACCGAAGACCATATTGCCAAACGAGACACATCGCTTAGGCGTTGTCGAACTTTGGATATTAGAACATCATATACAAGTTCATTAACCTTGTCCGCAAATGCTGCAACTCTCTGAGATGCGAGTGGAAGAGCATGGAAACGTGGATCTTTTGACTGCATGACAATGAAAGAAACTACTCAGATGCTAAAACAAAGAGAGAAAGATCAATTGAGCCCAAAATTCTACGGGTCCACCAGGGAAAGCAGGGAACAAGGCATCTCATATAGATAAAAGTAACGAGTAGAAAGAGAGGTACAAAAATTGATTAACCTGATCTAAGAGGTTGAAGAGCTTTTTTGCCTTCTCGGGAAACTCAACAAGCCGAACAACTGCCATGTCCAAGACAGCCCTGCCAACCATAGTCACTTCCCTATTGCTGTGATCACTGACTATGTGAGACTGATTTTGGTCCAAACTCGAACCGAAGACCGAAACAGATAAGGTTGTGCTCAGTCTTGCAAGAGTAGCTCTCAAAGAAGCTTCAAATACAGAAGACCTGCTAGTCAAACAATCAGCCACAGTAAGTATCTGTAGGGTCCCCTGGACGATGGACCACTCTTCCTCGTTTGACATCAAGTCAACTTTGCGTGTTCCATCCTTCTTTTCCTGGGCGGTTTCCTTCTTTAACCCAACACCATCACTACCCTGATCTATTCCACAGACAACTCTCAGGGATTTTAGAGTTTCCTGGAGTGAAGAAATATACTGTAACATCACATCATCAAGAGCCAAAAGTATTTCATCAGCTTCAGAACCACCCGTAAAGCTAATGCACCTCTCAACAGCTTCTTCAAGAAACAAAATAACTTGTGGGATAGACTCCTCCATTCTGCGTACTGTTTCACTAAGCTCAATCCCTTGGGCTCCCACACCACGAGTGACAGCTCCTCTAAGATCTACCTCTGCAATTTCAGATGAAAGGATAGCACGCTCCATTTGTCCGTACCTAGGAACAAGGAGAATATAAATTGTTGGACGCATTGCAAGAACATAATACTCCCATTGAATACAGAAAAAAAAGAAAAAAAAAACAAAAGTGGATACATTTCTAAAACAACAAGATTGTCACCATCTATGATTTATTACCTTTGTTTAAACGCTTCGAAAGGAAAATATACAGCCTTCAGCGTGTTTGTTAAAATATTCAGATCTGATTCTGAGAAAAGATGTTGAATATTCCTAGCAAAGGTTCCGGTCATATTATGTAGATCAATAAGTGCATGTAGATGCTTTGTTTGAATCTTGACACCCTTTGGCATATCTCCAGATAAAACATCTAATATTCCTGAAACAACAAACGGATATACTTGGGGAAAACCATAAAACTAAAATATACGGTTCATAGATTACCCCCGGCTACGCCTACACTTATCATAAACAATATGATGAAGTACTTAAGGGTAGAAAGTATAAAATTGATTTGAGATGTTCACTTCTACCTTTCCCCAATGTTCCAGGAACAATATCTGCAGTTGCAAGATTGATGCGGGAAATAAAACTTGACCCCACAACTGCCATTATCTCAATCAAAAGCTTTGGGACAAGGTTTTTGTAATCGTCGGAAAATGCAATCATACACCTGCAGATGACAAATTCACGCTTTAACAAATAACAAATAAAAGAAGGACGCCTGACCACAAGAATGCTGAAAATTTAGTGGCAAATCTCACAAAAGAAAAAATAATAATAATAAATAAAGGTATTAGTTTCATCAATTATTCAAATTTGATGTCCAATATGATGAAGTTAAATTTTAGGGTTAAATTTAACAGAAGTCAAAATACAAAACTAATATCATCACAGAACACATAAGTTATCTACCATGCATTCTTCGGAATAAACAGGACATAAAAGCATTAGAACATAAACACTACCATTTCCATTCTTGTTCGAGATAAAGTAGCAATTCATCATAGAAACTTGGCAACCAACTGGTGAATGAAACTGATGGAAAACTTGATTGCAAATCATTATTAGTTGTCGGTCTTTCAAATTCACTCTTTTCATTAGCAAGTTTATGTGCTCGTTGCTTTGAGTCAAAATCTTCCCAAAGTTGCTTCATAGGCTTCAAGTGAACTTTCGTATAGTTCTGCTCTAGAGATTTGAATCTTCCAATTCGAAGCAGAATTCCCCTCAAATCTTGAGCAACATCAACCTGTACCGTATATGGAATGCTTGTAAATCATAAAAAACCATATATTCGAATACAAGCCTTTGCAAAAGATATGTACCTTTCTATTTGTTAGTGCATCTGTTAAACGAGGTTGAACCATAGAATCAAGCCTGTCCTCTAAGACCTCAAGCTGCTTCCTCACATTAGCAAACTCAGCAACCTAATAGAACATCAAGTGAGTTTACCTTCCAGTTAGCAAACATGTGAAGGAAAAAGCACCATGGAGAATTTTACCTCCCCAACAGCAGACAAGCAATGTCTCATGTTGGCCAATGTATCAGCAGCTCGAGGAAGATCACCACTGGCAAAGACATCTTCCACCGTTGAACTTAATTGAGCCAACCCAGCAGCATCCTAGTGAATGCAATTAAGAAAAATACAAATACATGCATATGTTATCTAAACGTTGGTTTGTGTAAGCACTTACATGAGAACATGCATACTTCATCTAACAGTCTCTACCTGTAATGTCTCAAAGGCAGCTTCCATCCTCTGCTTGACGGTATCAACTCTTGCAAGGGCAGCAATAGATTCTGCGGAGGATCCCTCTGCCTGCAGAAGATATATTGCTTGAAACACTGAGATTTTTTTTTTTTTTTTTAAGTAATAACTGTAACAACCCAAAAATACATAAACAAATAAAGAGAAATTTAAAAAATAGGGAAAAATCCTTCAATCATGAGCATTCTTTCACCAGTGGACGAACTTGGCATCGAAAAGTTCTATCTAAACAAGGTCCGTTTCAAATTTAAAAAATATAACATGTGTAGCATCCTCTTCGTATTAACATTCCCTATACGACAAAATGTTGATACTACAATTGTTTGAGCATTATATTCACATCAAAATGAAGTACAATCCAAATTCACAAGCTCGCAGACAACCACTTGACCAACTAGAAGATCAAGTCCCAAGACTATAAGCATAAGATTACCAGTAATACAAATGACAGGAGTTGAAACTTTCCATAACCTCCATGGTCTATGCATTGAGTTTCTACCACAAGTCCTTTCCTCCTTTAATTTTTCTCTTCGTATTTTTGGTGCAACCTAGTGAATTTACTATAGATAAACACATAATCATAAAATGCTGAAGAAACTACAGAACAGAGCAGCCTCAAATCTAGCATAAATAATCCAACCAAACTTCCTCGAAAATCCATATAAGAATTGTAAAAGAGAAAGGCAACTGAATTGGAAGGGATACAATTTGGTGTCACCTTCTTAAGCTTCTGGAGGATCCCAGAGACAGCAGATCGGATAGAAACAGCGTCGTCACGCAAGCGGATAACATCGCGAGTAGCACGAGGAACGCGAAGAAGAGCACTGGCACTGAGCTCCTCGAGTGAGGCAGCGATCTCCTCGGACACCATTTGAAGTTTCATCTCCAAATCGACGAGGTGTTTGTCCAAAGACTCGTGTGGATGGCGAGTCTGGCAAGCCGAGTTGATCCATTTCTTCGGGTCGAAACTCTCACTGGAAAACGGACCTAAATCCAGATTCATGGCTACTCAGACGTCTTCCCGATTCAAAGATTCATGGAATTGGCAGCTGATTCGGGATCGGAAGAAGGAGCCCAAAATCACAGACACCTCCTAAAACCAACCTTCAAAATTGAGCCAACTCCTCTTCCCTTACACACCGATGTAAGACTAAGACTCAAATAATCAATAAAATGTTTAATATTAAAAATAATAAAAAATTCCTTCAAACTTGGGCCAGAAATTTGGGCCCTTTTTGGGGAAAATTCAAAATTTGGGCCTTCTAATTATACATACGTGGCCCAAACTCAAACACTTGTGTCGGGCTCGTTCAATAAGTTATAAATTAAAAATAATTATTTTTAATTTTTAATTTTTAATTTTTAATTACATTTCACCACATTGCTTTTATTATTATTTGTTAAAATCACGTTTGAAAATTTCATTAAGAGTGAATTTTGGCCTACCCACTAACTTAAACCTCTTTTCTTAATATATATATATAAAATAATTCAAATTTAAAGACACGTGTGTTTGATTACCTATTTTTAAGTGATTTTAATTGCAACTTGTTTAGCTGCAATAAGTGTTTTACAAATATTAAATTACCATAAAATAGAATAGGAAAAAAGTTTTAAACTTGAGGACAATTTTGTAATTTCACTTTTTTTTTTTATTTTTCATGTGATTTTTCTTTTAAACAATCACTTTTGATTATCGTTGATTTTTTAATTATTCTTTTATTGTTACAAGAGTGAACATGAATTGGGCTGGATAATTTTTTTTTTTACTATGACCGCGCCCAACAATCTAAATAAAATTTACAATTCAACTCAACTCAACACGGTTGTTGTGTTGTTTTTTTAATTATTTTAAAAGATAATAATAAATATCTATAATATTAAATTAATAACTAAAATTTTATAAATCTCAAATATCAGACATTTATAAATTAATGTGTATCACTAACATTGATATACATTAGTTTGTAATGATAAATATTCTTAATTTTTACAATAATTTAAAAGTATGGCAGTGTAGGATTGGGTTGTACCATATTATCGAATTGGTCTAGCTAACTCGACTAAAAAAATTGAACCCAACTCAACTCAACCGAAAATACAACTCGACTCAACTTTTAAAGTTTAAGCGATATAATCCAAGTTGATTAGATTCTGAGATCACTTGAACGTTCATCCATATTGTCAAACGCTCTCGTGAGTCCACCAAAAAATTAATTCAAACATGAACAAATTATTTTAATAATATATACTAAAGTTTTGAAATTAAACATAAACATTTTAATTTTTTTAAAAAATGAAAGTTTCTAAGCACACAAAAAGGTAAAAGTAAAACCGACCTTCCCAACCAACCAAACTCTTTTGACTTATACTCCAACTTCACTCTCCAATTTATATATATTTTTTAATTAAAAAATTAATAACTATATGTACTTCTTCACGTGCATTTATTAAATTCTACTATTTTATATTTAACTCCTTAAATTATTTAATTTAATGAAGTGGAAAATTAGGCTGCTTTCGGCCACGCGGCATATTGAGAACATGCCTAACTATCCTCTTTATATAATTATTAAAATATATATAATTTTTAAATCCACATATTCTTATATTATGTACTCAAAATATACCAAACTTCATATATATATTTTTGGTAAATTTTAGTTAATTAATTTTGCAAATTGTTTTTTATTATTACTAAAAATGCATACCACCAATATCAATTTAAAGGACCAAATTAAAATAAAATAAAATCATAAGGGCTTAACACTAAATTTAAATGGGGTCAAATTGAAAGAGAATAAATTAATAAGGACCAAATTGAAAAAAGAAACAAAAAATTAGGTAAATTAGGTGGAATGTGGTTGGTTGCCCTAATTAGATTTCTTAAAGATGAAGGGTTATAAGGCAAAGTTTGGGGGATTTTTATTTTATTTTATTTTATTTTTTATTACATGGGTCAAGTACACCAAATGCCACCCGATTTGGACAAACAATTGGACATTTATTCCATTTGTAGCTTCTAATTTTAAACTAAATAAATATTATAATATTAATCTCTCTATTTATGGCTAAAATTAGGGATTTAAACACAAACTCAAAAGGACAAAATTGTCCATGTAACTAAAAAAACACGTTATTTGTCTCTTCCGACAAGTATATCAAATATTTTCTAATGTTTTTGAAATCTTAATACCATTTTTGTATATATCAATCAACATCAACATATATATATATATATCCTTTGATTGCATATATATTTTTATAGGGACCAAAAATAACAACATATTGGTCCTATGATTCGCCTTTTCATGCCTCCAAAAGCCATTTTTCCGTCATTTATAAAGATGTACGTAACAATTTTTCTTTTTAGAGATTTTTCATTAATAACAATGTTATAATTAAACCTTCGATCTTAAAAAAAAAGATTAAATTTATTTTTATTTCGCTCGATCACTATTTTAAAATTTTGAGATTTATTTAATATGATTAAAATATTTTAAAATTATTATTTGTGTCAATGCACCAAAAAAGAGTGTAATAAATAAATAAGAATTTAATGAAGTTTTGTTGGTGGGAGTATATAAAATCGAAATTAAATTCGACCCCAAAATTCAAACGTTATTAACTAAATTCAATTTCTATACGTTTCCTTTTAACCAAAAATTAAGAGCTCAATTATTTACTCTGACACGTCAGCAAGTATTGAATAAATAATGGATATGGAATAAATGAAATATAAAAATTAATTTCATAAATCCTCATTACTATTTTTCTTATATTATTTTCTAAAAATTCATGGATTAAAAAGAAATCACAAATAATCAATCTAAATCGTATATAAACATCACGATCTAACGATAGAGATACATTTGAGCCGACTATTACTTATTTTGCCCAGTTACAATCATGGATACGAACATCACAATCCAATGTTGGAGGTACGTTTAAATAGACAATTATACTTTATATTAAAACATTAATAGTTTGTATAGGTCGGAAAATTAAATAATTATCAATCATTAAACCGAAACTAAATAATTAATTAAAATTTAGAAAATTAAAATGCTTATTATGTTAACCCAACGTTTGATTGGGTCCGTTGATGGACTGATTAGTCATTTAACAAATATTTAAATTAAAAAAAAAAAAAATTGTTCGTGTCTGACCTGTCAAGGTGTCAGCCTTGTCATTTATGCCCGAGAGGATGAATGTCAGGGTCAATTTCCCGCCTTTTTTTTTAATTTTTTATATTTATTATTTTAATGGTGGTTTTTTTAATTTTAAAATTAAATTATAATTGGAAAAAATATTTATTAATGATTTGTAAGGTGAGCAATTAAAGAGAAATTTTCTGAATTATTTAATGTGACGAAAGGAAACCCATTAGTCCACTCTTTAGGCCATTCATAAATCATCAATAAAGTTCCCCAAATCTGTGGGGGACTTTTAGCTCCCATGGTTTTCAAATCTATAAAAAAATTAAAAAAATATATATATATATATATAATAATATTCGATTATTTCTTCTCGAACATTTGCTCTATAGTCATATTTGACAGTTAAAGCGTTAAGACTGGATTCACATGTTTTCATTTTTTTTATGTTAAAATCAATTTAAATATAGCTCAATTGTAAAAATAATAATTATCATTATAAAAATCGATAATTCATAAAATAATTTCAAAATAAACTATTTACGGGTAGAAGATGGAATAAATTAAATAATTTTCATAACAAAATAAAAATAAAAATTAAAAAAAACCAGTACAAGGATTTTCCGTTTCAAATTTGTAGAAAGAGTAAACTTTAAGCTTTTTCGTTATATTCTTTTCTTAGCAAAGAAAAAAAAAAGCGAGAAATTGAGACAAAGAAAATGCACCGTAACACGAATATTTCAAAGATACATTGCTTTATTTTTTAAAAGTACATTTTAGAGTAGGCTTTACACGTAATTAGTTCGTAGATTATAATCATTAAAAAAATTAAATTTAAAAATTAAATAACAATAATAAATTTTTACTAAATTTATTTTTGACAATAATAAATTCCATGTTTGAATTTCGTACATGGCGTATCTACAGCCAATCAAATAACATATTACGTAATGTCCAAGGTCTCAAATGTCAAAACTATATACGTTACAAAATAATTTTCACATACAATAATTTAATTAATTCGTAAATTAGATCGGTATCAATTACAAAATGATAAAAATCTAACCTATATTTAATTATAAATTTACCCATCTTTTCAAATATGTCATTTAAATTACATTATTTTACGTGTAGTAAACTCAATTCAATAATTATTTAAGAATATTATCGTAGAAGTAAGGCTCCAAGAGATTACACGAAAAAATAATATAAATAATATAAATGAGAGGGCACACCTAGAAAGGCAAAAGGCAAAGGGAGTTTCCATGATTCTTCCTTAACAAATTAAATATTAATATATAATAAAAATGTATTCTCGGCATCCTTGACTAAGTAAATTTCATACCATTGTCGCTCTATAATTGGAACCAAAACCAAAGTTCAATGGGTCCCACTAAATCTCACTTTTTATTTTATTTAATCACAATTAATTCAATTACTCTATATATATATTTTTAATTCTATTTACTTAATTACCTTCTTATTATTTCCATATTTAATTCCAAATACTTAATTATTGCAAAAAAAAAAAAAAAAAAAAATTAGAGTGGGAAAATGAAAAGTTAATTACTATATTTATTTATTTATTTTTGGATATTTGAAAAATAGCTGGAGTTGTAAGTTTCCAAGGTATTTCCCTTTAGAACTCTATTTTTGACTAAGAAAAAGTTATTATTCTACAAAGACTTATTCTAATGGTATTTAATTCTCATGCTTACTTTTTAGTTTGAATTTAAATCAAACCTATATCATGCTGGGACGTTGAGATACACCCCTAAAAAAAAAGAGTAAATTTAAGATTTATGTTATCTTTTTTTACATTCTCATAAAAACACGTTAACAGTACTGACCGACTCGAAACAATTAATGCTAATATAAACGTAGCTTAGTGAATAAGAAATAAAGTGTCACGTTAAGGGTCAATGACTTGATCTCCACGTTACTATCGTTGAAATTAAAAAATAAAGTATTGAAAATAATTGATAAATATTGATGGTAAAAAAATGACGTAATATTTAAAATTATATATATATATATAGAAGGATTTTAAAAATCTATTTGTCACTCATTAGTTATTAGCAGAAATAATGAAATCCGTGTTGTTAGGACAAAGTGTGTACCTAATCTAACATTGTAACCAATAAAAAACAAAATACAAAAAACGTGAAGGCGAATAAAAAAATGAAATGGCACGTGGTCCCAGCATTGGCCACGTCATAACATGATGTCAGCTACAACTGGATTAGACGAATCCCAGAGAGCCACGTGGAGAACAGTGGCGGTCACCGACGACCTGCCACTTGTAACCGAAAGCGACGACACGTTCGCACACGTCCAACAATGACGTGGAGGGCCCCACAAAACGACAACGTGGCCCCGTCAGCTTCGACACGACCACACGTGTCGTCACGCGCTTTATGCGCAATAGCTGTAAGCCACGTATTGTTGTATCTTACGGCTTCCCCACCCCTGGGCCCCACGCGAGGTGACTTTTGACATTTTTTCCTCCCTTATTATTATTATTATAATGAATAATAAATAATAATAATAATACCAAATAAAAACCTCGCCAGTTTCTAGTTTTTTCCGTTATTTTATTTTATTTATAAGGACGGAATTGAGACGTAAAAACAGCCAAATTCACGTATTTAAATAATTAAATAATTAACTAATTTTAAATGCAGCTGAATATTAAATATATTTCCGCCATTAATACTTGAGATTTCAAGATTAAAAATAAATTTAAAAAAATTAAATATTTGATCCTAGTGTTAGATAGCTGCTATCCTAGAGAAGTATGCGTGGTTAACACGCGCCACCTTCGCGCGTAAAGATGGATTCAGTGGGGGGTGAGAGGAGTGTTCCCGGATTCAACAACCACGCATAGATCATCGGAAACAGGGGGTTCTCTATAAATAACCAAAGCCAATTGAATTTCTTCTCCTCGCTTCTTCCGCATCAAGATTTTTCCTCTCTGTTTTCGCTTCAATTTCGTTCTTGTTCTTCGCGATTCGGGTTCTTGTTAACTGCATTTCGCGACCTTTCTTTATCTCTCACAGGTTCTTCCCTCTCTTTCTGTTTCCATTCTTTGACCTTCTTCCCCTTTTCTAGTCGCTTTCTGTTTCTGATGTCCGCCGGCGTAATATCTGCCGCCTAAACCCACCACTTTTGTTGGGCTTTTCACGTGTATCTTGCGCCTAAGAACTTTTTCCCCCTTTTAATCGATTTTTCTGTGGCCTTTTCAAGGTGAAAATTGCTCGACTACTTTTCTTTCCTCTTTTGATGAAATCTCTTTTGTTGTTTATTGGTTTTGAATCTGCATTTTACCAGGACCTGCTTGCATTTCGGTTTCGTTACAATTTTTACCATTAGAGCTCTCTTCCGCAGGTTACTTCCTTGTATTCGTTTCTTAAATTGCTTCGGTTCATCGGGATTTTCACTTCATGACGCAATATTTGTTATTAACCGTACGTTTGGTTTTTAAATGTTTGCGGATTTTCTGGGGTTTTAATCACTTGATACGTCTGTTTTACGTGTTTGAATGGATTATAGGCTTTTAGGTGTGGGAATGAATTCTGGTTTGACTTTGTTAATGGAATTCAAACAGGCTTTTCTGTTTGGGGTTTATGCAATTTCGATTCTCTACGAAATTTCCCTGGAAAATTATTGATTGGTTCTTTCTTAAAATCAGATTTCATGGACACTGTTTCCGATTCGTTTGCGTTTGAGTTTCTTGTTATTAAATTGATGGGACATTTATTACTTCATTGTCGCCAAACTTGATATTTGATATAATAATCGACCTCGATTCTTCACCCTCTTTCAATTGGGTTCATAGATTATGAACTGATTATTGTAGCCACAACTGTAAAAGCCATGTTTATGCATTAATTGCCTAAACCAAGGTCTTGTGTTTAGTGTTTTACTGCGTCTATGGCCTTCGGGAAACTGAATCTTCATTTCTTTGTCCATTTGTTTATTTCTTTGCTTGCTTCTATGTAGCCCCATAATCTTCATTTCTTTTTGTATACTCTTTTTAAGCTCATCAACCAGTGCCTGCTCTGAAACTTCTTCTTTTTATGATGATTTTTCAGATGTTTTGTGCTTGATGAACTGTGAGCTAAGTGGTAGTGACAAGAAAACATTACAAAAGTGTCCATACACTTGAATCAACCTCCAAAACTGGATCAAATGGATCTTAAATCAAACCACAACTCTCCCATCCTCACCGACCCTGCGCCTATCAGCAAGTCTAGGCTGGGCGTACATTCAAATATGTTGCCGTATGCAGCTGCTCCAGGAGTTGGTTTCTCTCCGAATTTGCTTCTAATACCAAGGAAAAAAACTGGTGTTCTTGATGATGTTCGAGCAAGCTGCTGGCTAGATGCTATGAAATCTTCATCTCCTCCTCCTAATAGAATCTCCAAGGACGTTGTCAATGAGCTTCCATCATTTGATCCCGATTTTCTGTACCGCAATTGGATGGTACCTTTTCTTTTATTACACTCTGCATTCTGATGTATGAGGGATTTTATTGAGGACCCTGAATGAGTTGTTTATTTTCAGGTTAAGTATCCATCAGCACTTGGCTCATTCGAACAGATTGTAACTCATGCCAAAGGCAAGAGAATAGTATTGTTTCTGGACTATGATGGGACTCTTTCGCCGATCGTAGATAACCCTGACTGTGCTTTCATGTCTGATGCTGTAAGAATCTGTAATTTCTTGTTTGGAATAACTCCACCTTTGTTGTTAAGTATGACTAACCCAACTCAACCCCTTTGCAAATGTCATAGATGCGTGCAGCGGTAAAAGAGGCTGCAAAATATTTCCCAACTGCTATAATTAGTGGAAGAAGTCGTGACAAGGTACGATGTTTCGTATGTTATGTGAATGTTTTGTAGTGAATTCAGCTAGTTTCTGAGTATCCTTGTTTTTTGTTTTTCAGGTTTTCGAATTTATAGGATTAAGAGAACTGTACTATGCTGGGAGCCATGGAATGGATATTATGGTCTCTGATAGACACTCAACTAACAATCAGGGCAAGGAAGTTATGTTTCAGCCTGCTAGTGAATTCTTACCTTTGATAGACGAGGTGTGTACTCTACTGAGGCTTGCATTGGTAACATATTTCTCCTTTAGTTTAGCATTTGAATGAACAAATTTGTGTTGTTTGGACAGGTTTTCAAATCCCTGATTGAAATCACTAAGGGAATTGCTGGAGCAAAAGTTGAAAACAACAAGTTCTGTGTATCTGTTCATTACAGAAATGTGGATGATAAGGTACCACCTACCACCCCTCTCAGAGAATCACTTTGTAGAAGATTGTGAATCAATTAGGAACATGAATATTGAACTGTTTGATCTCCCCAGAACTGGAATGCTCTTGCGAATTGTGTTTATGACCTTTTGGAAGATTATCCCCGACTGCGCGTTAGTCATGGTCGTAAGGTACTTTGATATCAATCAAATTGTCATTAGATGCTTGTTTTTGCAAAGATTACTTGAATTTTTTTGTATTTTTGTTACATAGGTTTTGGAAGTACGACCTGTGATTAGCTGGGACAAGGGGAAAGCTGTTACATTCTTGCTGGAATCTCTCGGTAAGAACATTAACTCTTATAATACATGAGTTAATTAGTAAGTATGAATCTGTATGCTTGGAAATCTGAAAGTGTACATTGACAGGACTTAACAATTGTGATGAAGTGCTCCCGATTTACGTGGGAGACGACCGCACGGATGAAGATGCATTCAGGGTAAGTTTAGTGTTTATAATGTCTGCTCTGCTCTGCTCTGAGAAGGTGTTCTAAAGGGGAGTTGGAATTACAGGCTTTGAAAGAAAGGAATTGCGGATATGGGATATTAGTGTCATCAGTGGCGAAGGAAAGCAGTGCAGCATACTCTTTGAGAGACCCATCTGAGGTACCAAACTCTTCCATTAAAGCGAACCATTTTAGGCACAAACTGTTTTAAAGTGACTGGAGATCTGACATGGAAACGATTGATGGCAGGTGATGGAGTTTCTGAAGTCACTGGTGACATGGAGGAAGTCAAGTGCTTTATGAACAGAGCAAGTAATGAATATAACATTAATTGATTGATCCATATAATCAAAAGAGTATAGAAAGGAAGAGGTTATTGTTACTATTATTATTATTATTATTATTGTTTTTGGAGCAGATTTACAATTCCTTTTTAGAGTTTTGTAGACGAAATGTTCCATTCTTAATAAAACTATATATCACAGAGAGAGGAATGAAGGAAACAAATGGCTTCTTCCTTTCATTTATTCAATTCAGCAATGCAAAAACGTTGTTGATTCTTTCATTCATTCATTCATTCATACCCTTTTCTTTCATTCCATTTCTGCTATGAACACAACACGAAGAACAAGAAGAAGAAGAATAAGAATTGTTTAATTTATATGAACACTTTATTGGTTCTTGAGGCTGTCAGCAATTCAAATCTTCTTTTCACTTTTCACCGTTACATACAGATTAAATAATGTATCTTTTTGCCTAAACCATCCTCCTTCTTTGCTTATGGATCACTTCTATGCTTCTAATAATATTTTATACGCATATTTGGTTATTCATTATTTTTGGTACATGAATCTATTAAATTCATTTGATTCATTTCTTTTCTTGTATTACTACATGAATAAGATAATTCAGGTATGAGAAAGTGTCATCTCGTGTTCTCCTATAAACAATGGAGATTAACTTTAATTTAAAAACACAATGGAGATTAACTTTAATTTAAAAACACAAGATCGAAAAGAAATGATAATAAACATGTATTACTTTGTTTAAGGTCGAAAGTTGAAATCACCTTAATTCAATATAAACTTATATATAGCCAAACATATTAAATAACAAGATATTCCACAAATAGATGGAAATCTCACTCATTTATTGTTGGATGAATGTAAATAGAAAGACAAGCCAAAATAATATACATAAATATTTAAAAAAAAAAAAATCAAATCAAATTCTCTTCCTTTGGCTTGGTTGTGTAGCGATATTATATTTTTATTCGAAAATTTATTTTTAATATAATGATTTGAAGACAAGAATCGAAATATCAAACCAAACATATAAATGATTTTTTCAATCGTGGTATTAAGAAATAAGAAATATTTTTTTTTTTATGGGAAATCTCACCACCAAGCAAGGAAGAAGGGTTATTTACAAGTTACATGTTTTTTTTAATGAAGAAAAAAAAAAGTGGTTAGAATGAAAACCCACCTCTTCATTTCTTACATTATTATTATTATTATTATTATTATTATTATTTTTGGGTTTGGTGAATGGGTAAAGTCAACTTAGAAATCAAATTAAACCCATTAATACTAACTTTATAAATCTATCTTTTAATTCTTTTTAACCTTTAACCCTTACCTACTATAATTATTTTTATATTTTTCAGCATAATTTTCAAAAAATTTTAAAAAATTTACAAAACAAGTAGCGTAATTCAATAATAATTTGTTTTTTTTAGTATATATATTTATAGAATTTGTGTTGAATGCACTGTAAATGTATTGCCATTAATTGGATACATTTCTTTATGGGATGAAATTTGTAATTCAAATTCCTTATTACAAACCAAAGAAGTTAGGTAAAGAATTTATTAAATATTGGCAACCAAAATTCTTACTCTTTTTCAAGAAGCTCCACTACTATTTTTTTTTATTTTTTTAAATATAACTTATAACCATATCTATTTAATTTTAATACTTAAAAACTTAAATTTTTAATTTTTAATTTTTTTAAAAAAGGGTGTAGCGTGGGGAGGGTTGGAGAGCGTGAACACGGTTCCGTCAAATCCGAAAGTCATCTTCATTATGGAGAAGGAGACGCCGAAATTTGGGGCGTTTCCGGATGCCCAATTCCTTCTTTCTGGGCCCCACTTTCCAGCCCCCTCCCACCGGCGATTCCCGGTTTCCCCCCGCCCTTTTTAACCGACAACCAAGCAACTTCTGTACTTAATTCAAATTAATATTAAAATTATAATTATAATTATCCTCCCACCTTTTTCTTCTACCATTTATTTCATCCTCTCAAATCCCTTGAATTTTAATAATTAAACTTTCGGCAAAAATCACTTTTTTTTTCTTCATTTAATTTTTTGTTCCACTTACTGTTACAAATGTTTTTACAAAAAAAAAAAAAAAACTAAAACATTCTAGAAGCCCATCATCATAAAAAAATTACAAATTTTTTTGCTATAGTCTCACTTTTGGAAGATACCAACTATGGTGGCTTTACCAACTTCAATGGCGGGGCGTTTAAGCTTGGCTAAAACAAAGAGAAGGTACAAAGAATCTTGATCCATGAACCTGGTGCACCAAATGAATGACAAATCGAGCTCAAAATTGTACAACAAAGTGCAGATGAATTTTGACGCGTAATTGAAAAAGAAACATAATTATTACAAAATTTCTTAAAATTGAGAAAACTCGACGGAGAATATTATAAATTATTTTCAGTAATTTTATTTTATTTTGTAAAACAACAAATATGAAAAAGCCACCAATATTAATAATAAATACTTTTAATGAGTTTTGTTGTCACTCTCGGCTGTATATTCCAAATATAAAATAATATAAGAAAAAAAAAAAGCATATTAGTTGGTTTTCTATTTTGTTTTATTCAGAGTAGAAGAATCCATGGTTTAAGAAAATTAATTATAAAATGAAATTGTAAAAATAAGAAGTAACCGGCTCAGGCAGTGGCTGGTCACCTTCCTTAAAAAATGAAGTAATGAAGTGATTTAGGGCAGCGGCTTCCGGTCAGGGTGATTGACCGCGTAACGGTTGCATTTTGATTCCATATATTTTTGTGCAGAAAAGAGGCGAAAGACGAAGAACAGCTTTCCCTCGTTCTTCTCTGATTATGTAAAAATCTTCTCTCATAATCTCTCTAATCTCTTCCATTATTCCATTCTCACTCCTAATCTCCAAATTTCAGCCGCAATGCCTCTGTTTCGCCCTGTTCTTTCACTGTTTTATCTCCTTCCGATCATCTTCCTTCCGTCTTTCTGCTCCGCCGCCGATCCCTACGCCTCTTATGAATTTCGCGTCTCTTACATCACTGCCTCTCCCTTGGGCGTTCCTCAGAAGGTTCTCTTTCTCTCTCTCTCTCTCTCTCTCTCTCTCTCTCTTCTTTTACAACTTTCCATATTCATCCTCTCTGTTTCTTCTTGTGTTTGGTTCTTGAGTTTATGTTACTCCGTCTTCCTATTTCGCTGCATGCCTCTGTATTGAGGAGTTGTTCTAATCATTTTCTGGTGTCTGATTCTGCGGAGTGATTTAGAGCTTGAAGTTCTTATGATTCGTTCTCTATTTTCTTGATCACTATGCGCTGTTGGTTTTTATTTTATTTTCGAGTATTGAATCTTATCTCACCCGGAAAAAATGAATCCCAGTGAATTTTTTATTTTTTATTTTTGTAGCAATATAGTTAATTTCTGTTGAATTTTTTGAATTTTAAATTTTATTTACCGGGTCGCGGGGTTCGAGATATTGAACGAATTTAAAGCAAATCACAGCCCAATAATTTAGGGTTTTTTTTTAATTTCTTTCGTTACTCATTATGCTCTCAGACTAGGCAACTTTAGTTACTCATTTTGGCTTTTTGATTCTCGAGAAAGTTTTATTGACTCTAGAAAGTAGTTTTTTTTTTTTATATATAAAAGACAAATTTAATTTTGTTTCTGAAATTTGATAAATAATAACTAAATGAATTAATTTTTTATAAAACATAAACTGGATCGAAATAGGTATCAAGACCTTAACATCAGTCTCCCATTTGATTATGAATTAAAAAATAATAATACTAAGTAGGATTACAGCTGAAATTCGTTCAAGTTTTTTAGGTGTCGTTTCTTGTTGCAGGTTATAGCTGTTAATGGAAACTTTCCTGGTCCTCCAATCAATGTCACCACTAATTACAATGTTGCTGTAAATGTATGGAATGATCTGGACGAAAATCTTCTAATGACTTGGTTTGTCTACTTGAAAACAAATTCTCAAATGCTGTTTATGTTCATTTTCTTTGAGTTGTTGTAAGCAGAGAGTGGGTGTATAATGGCAGGTCTGGGATTCAAATGCGGCGGAATTCGTGGCAAGATGGTGTTCTTGGCACCAACTGTCCAATTCCTCCAAAGTGGAATTGGACCTACCAGTTTCAAGTGAAGGATCAGATTGGAAGTTTTTTTTACTTCCCATCAATCAATTTTCAGAAAGCATCTGGTGGGTTTGGTCCATTTGTTATTAATAATCGGGACATTATCCCAATTCCTTTTGCACAACCTGAAGGAGATATTTTCATTATGATTGGTGATTGGTTTACACGAGATCACACGGTTAGTTTCTGCATTGTTGTGGTGTTCGTTAATTCTTTTAAACCAGTTAACTCATATTGACTTTTTTGAATTCAGGCACTCAGAGCAGATCTTAGTTCTGGAAAGGAACTTGGTATTCCGGATGGAGTTCTCATCAATGGCAAGGGGCCTTACCAGTACAATGCAACTCTTGTACCGGCCGGTATCCAATATGAAACCATTCGGGTTGATCCTGGTAGGGTTCTCTTCCATGAATGTTACTGTGCTATTCCTTAAGATCACTTTCCTTTCATTTATTATATCTTCAAGCCAACTACAATGGGATATTTCCAAAAAGTATTGTGTTTTTTTATGCAACTTTTGATTGTTCTTCAAAAGACTACGACCCATCATGGTGGTAAATGATGAGATAAAAAAGATTGTCACAATGTAAGTCTACGCTCACCTGAAACCAATTTTGAGAATCATCTTAGTGTTAAATCTCATATTGGTTGGAGAAGAGAACAAAATATTTTTTATAAGGGTGTGGAAACCTCTTCCTAACTGACACATTTTAAAACTGTGAGGCCGACGGCGATACGCAACGAGCCAAAGTGGACAATATCTACTAACGGTGGACTTGGTCTGTTACAAATGGTATCAAAGCCAGTCATCGGACGGTGTGCCAACAAGGACGCTTGGCCCTCAAGGGGTGGACTGTGAGATCCCACTTTGGTTGGAAAGGAGAACAAAACATTCTTTATAAGGGTGTGGAAACCTCTCCCTAGCAGAAGCGTTTTAAATCTGTGAAGCTGACGGCAGTATGCAACGGCCAAAGCAGACAATATCTGCTAGCAATGAGCTTGGGATATTACATAACGAGATTTTAATGCCAGGCAAAATGGGTAACACTTTGATTTGCGGTGTTAAAATCCCATGATAGATGATGCTGAAGGACAGTCTATGCTGCAAATTCCCATTTTCTCTCTTTTTGAATGGTTAGGACTCGTTCACTGAAGTTTATGGTATTCTTTCAGGCAAAACATATCGACTTCGTGTGCACAATGTTGGGATTTCTACCAGTTTGAATTTTAGAATCCAGAGTCATAATATGCTTCTAGCAGAAACAGAGGGACATTATACGGTGATGCAAAATTACACGGACTTTGATATTCATGTTGGGCAGTCCTACTCTTTTTTGGTTACCATGGACCAGAATGCCAGTACAGATTACTACATTGTCGCAAGTGCTAGGTTCGTAAACGAATCACTTTGGCAAAAAGTAACAGGTGTTGCCATCTTACAGTACTCCAATTCCAAAGGACCAGCAACTGGTCCACTCCCAGATCCTCCCAACGATTTTTACGACAAGGAGAGGTCAATGAACCAGGCGAGGAGTGTGAGGTTCGTTCTTATACCATTATCTTTGTTCATATATATTCTTGATATCCAGTGATAATGAACTGGTGATTTCTTATTATGATTGTCAGGCAAAATGTATCTGCTAGTGGCGCCCGTCCTAATCCTCAGGGATCTTTTCACTACGGTCAAATAAATGTGACTCAAACGTATTTGTTGAAGAGTGAACCATTGGTGACGATCAACAAAACAGCTCGGGCAACCTTCAATGGCATCTCCTTTATTCCTCCTAAAACTCCAATCAGGCTTGCTGACCAACATAAAGTTAAGGGAGCATACAAGCTTGATTTTCCTGATATGCCATTGAACAGAACACCTCGGGCAGATATATCTATTATAGATGCAGCATATAAAGGATTTATTGAAGTGATATTTCAGAATAACGATTCTATCATCCACAGTGTTCATTTGGATGGCTATTCGTTCTTTGTGGTTGGGTGAGGTTTTCCCCTCCTTTTTCCACTTGCTTGCCTTCTACTCTATGCATCACTTGCTTTCAAATGTTGATTAATTGCATGTGTATCATTCTTGCAGTATGGGTTATGGTGATTGGTCAGAAGACAAAAGAGGTAGCTACAATAAATGGGATGCCATTACCCGATCCACTTCTCAGGTTTGTTTTTTTTCCAAGTTGTCATGGAAGTATTTGGATGGAACACGCGTGTTGTGATGCTTGTTATTAAAGCAAAGCAAATTGGTTTTTTATTCTCTACCATTGATTTCAAGTTTTTAGTGGAGATTAAGAATACTAGGTTAAAACATAATACAACTGCAACAATCTAATCTATGATCTTACCAACGATGAAGTTCTGCGTTTTCTCATATTCTCTGTGATGAAATGTGTGAGTAAGGCGTGAGGATTTCATTGAAAAAAATAATACCTTCTGATAGTATTGCAGTACTACCACTGGTATCAATTAACATCATTGTTAGCTCTCAGATTCTGATTTGGTATTGATTTAGTAAATATGTTTCGGTTTTCAGGTTTATCCTGGGGCTTGGACTGCGGTTCTTATTTCTCTAGACAACGTTGGAGTATGGAATCTTAGAGCAGAAAATTTGGATCGATGGTACTTAGGTCAAGAAACATACTTGAGAATTGTCAATCCGGAGGAGAATGGGAAGACCGAGATGGCAGCTCCTTCGAACGTTCTATACTGCGGTGCATTGCAGAGTTTGCAGAAGTATGTGACTGAACACAGCAATTCTGTTCTTGTTCCCGTGTCTTTTAGAATAGCACCATATCTAATCTTCCTTTTGTTTTGGTTTCCAGAGAACAGCACCACGGCAATGCCAATTCAATCTTCAAGGGACACTCAAAACTCTTCATCACTCTTCTTATGGCACTCCTAAATGTGGCTTTCCTTCTCAGTTAAAACACCTTTTGGTGAATGGTGAGCATTGTTTTCGTTCCTTCTCATCAAAGTGGTCGATTCTCGGGATCGATCGCCTGCGTGATGTCATTGTTTCGTTTCTGGATTGTCATTTTTATGTAAGCGCATATATACAGTCAGTTAGGTGTGAATGAGTCATTTTCTTAGAGAGATTGTTCTAAATGACATACTTTTCTGCCCCTTCCCCAACATAGCGATTGTAATTTGAATAGTTGTGTAATGCCAGCAAAAATTTGCAGTCATAGCCCTTGAGAATTCCTTCTGACCATCTTTGACATAGCTGATATGTTGATAAAAATTCTGCCTCTTGTGTGTGAAATGATTGCAGCGTTCAGAACTTGTTTCAAAGGGACCATTCATATTTCATTTTTGGTCTGTTTTCAACTTTATCCAAGTTTTGTGAATGTGAAGGTTTGATTTTATCCACTGACAACAGTGGAATGTCTACACAGAGTTTGATCATCTTCGGCCCACTAGAGTGTGTAATAATGACGATTTTCACACAGTTGACTTGTTCATCGAGTTAGAACAAATGTCGCAAAATTTCTACTATTCCGCCACCACAAGAGTGTCACTGATACAATCTCAAATCAACATTTTTTTTATTTTCATTTCATCCGATTAATAATGTAAAATTGTTGGTCGCGATGTTCTTGCTTGCCTCTCAAATAATTTTTCTACTAAAAGTTGAGTTCTTAAGCATTGTTCGACTTTTAAATTTCATTTTTGATGTCGAGATCTCTGTTGGGACAGAGAGAGACCAAGTTGTAAATGAAAAATTAGAGAGCATTAGAAAAGAATATAATTACAGAGTTAATTATGATGCTCTTCATAAACATGTTCGTGCTCATTTGAGAGCCTTTACCATTCCTTGAAGCAACCTAGAACATGACTACATTAAATATTATGATGTAAATTACATAATATATTCTTACCATAATTATAAAAAACCCCAACAAAATTAAAAAAATAAACTCAATACACTAAGTTCCAAATGACAGCCAATTTCATAAAGTAATAAGTAAACATGATTAAATTAGAGATTAAGTGGGAATAAAGAAGAAGGATTATTGAAGAGGATTTAGTTAATGAACACAAAATATTGTTGTTTGTTCTGTTTGAAGTGCTCACAAATGATGAAGGGAAATTGTTGTGTGTGTAAAAATGTCAAACCCTTGTGTCAAAAATGCCTAGGATTCCTTGTGTTGATCATGATATGACATGATTGTGTGTGTTTTTATGTGTTTGTAAGAGAAAGACAATGGCTATAAAGTTTGTCCCCTCAATCATATATCCATTGGCTCAAAGGGTTATCCCAAGAAGCTGCCTTTGTCTTTGCCTTACAAGCCTTTCAAATTCTTCATTTTGCTTCGTCTTCTTGGTTGGTTTCGGTCATGGCCAGCCTCTCTCCTTCCCTTCTCTTCTTCGTTGGTTGTTTTTTGTGAAGGGATTGAAGGTGGTATTATTATGAACACTTGTAAGCAATGTGAGATTATATGTTTGTTGTGCGTAGGTGCTTCTTCTATGATTTAGTGGTTGGTGGTGTATATGATGCACATATGGAATGGCCTCACCATGCACACCATTGCTTCTTTAATAACATTAACACTGTTTATATCCACCCTACCATAATTGCTTACAACTTAAGGGAACCCCCAAGTTGTTCACTTCACTGCAAAGCCTCCATCAATGCTTTATTATTCTTGCCTTCTTTGTGTATACCACAGGTACCCTCTTCCACTTTTGGTTTGTAACATGTCTTATCCATCATCATTGGTAGATATTATCTTATTTAGACGTTTCCTTTGTGAGATCTCACCATCCACCTCCTTAGGGGCCAACGTTCTCTCTCTCCAACCAATGTGAGATCTCACAATCCTATCTGGTTGGCACACCATCTAATGTTTGACTCTAATACCATTCGTAACAACCCAAGTCCACGAGTAGATATATTTTCTTTTTTGGGTTTTTCCCGGAAGGACTTTCCCTCGATGTTTTAAAACGCGTTTACTAGAAAAGTTTCTACACCCTTATAACGAATGCTTCGTTCTCCTCTCTAATCGACGTGGCTCTCATATGGTCTCTTTCTTTTTCTTCTCCTTTCTATGCTTTAAGTTGGCTTTGAAAGATTTAGGGTTTTCAAGGCAATGTTTCATAGCATCTTTGTCTTGTTTTTAGAACCTACAACTTATAACTATCAACATATATTATTCATTATTTCTATGTTTGTAAATTTCAACATTTTCCCATCTTCTCTTTTGTTATGATTTCTTTTTCTTTTTATTTGAAGTATTACGATGTTTTAGCATCCTCTATTGTTTTGTCTTTAGAGTCTTCAAACCAACCAGTTTGGGTACTCGACTAATCTTACGAGACAATATGTCTAACACTGCAATATTTTGATGCTAAATAATGTTGTTTGGTCACTTCGAGTTAGTATACTAAAGAAATAATTATTCACATTTGTATGGCTTAGAGATTTTGAAAGGAATACATAAATTTAGATTTTTTTTGTGACTTTTGAACATGTTTAATTGATCCAAAATCAAATTTTTTTTTGTATGATAAAAAAAACCCATGTAATAACTAAAGTATAATATCAAACATTAAATCGACTTAAAACGATTCTCGAACATGACCTTAATCATTTTCACTCTAACTAGATTGAAATTCCATTAAAAAAAAAAAAGATTTATAAAATTATTGAATAAATTTTGATGGTGAAACAACATGATCATCTTTATCTTCATGTTCCATTGTAGCAGCTTAAGCTCACAATATTGTCCGTTTTGGCCCGTTATATATTGCCGTCAGCCTCATTTTAAAACGTGTCTATTAGAGAGAGGTTTCTACACCCTTATAAAGAATGTTTCATTTTCCTCTTCAATCGATGTAGGATCTCGCAATCCACCCCCCTTAAGGGCCTAGCGTTCTCGCTGGCACATCACCCCGTGTCTGGCTATGACACCATTTATAACGGTCCAAGCTCACCACTAGCAAACATTGTCCATTTTAGCTTGTTACATATCGTCATCAACCTCACAATTTTAAAATGCGTCTGTTAGTGAGAGGTTTCTACACTCTTATAAGGAATGTTTTGTTACCCTTCTCAACTGAGGTGAAACCTCACGCACGAATCATCATTAATATCCAAAGGAATTATAAAATGAGACAAAAGTAGCAGAGTGATGTTTTTTTTTTCAGAATAGAAATCGTGCTCTAAATAAAACCACAAAACCAAGTGTAATTAAATCAGAATATGACATGAAAAGTTACATATATATATATATATATATATATTGTATATAATATGAATTGTATGATAACAAGTCTTCAATATGTACAGAAATCATGATAAAAATGACTTCAATATGAACTCTAACAACATTCTGTTAATTATTATATAATATGAAGAAGAGCATTTCACTTCCACAGCTCAATCTGACAACTCGAAGAGGATGTCGGAGGAGCATTTTCTGGAACCATAGGTTGTTGCTTTGAAGCATTCTCTTGGCTGAGCTGAGAAGCAACATATTTATCAAACACACGCCAATCTGTGAGCTGATTCATTGTCTGTTCATTGTTGTTGCTGTTGCTGTCATCCTCAAACAAAAACAACAAGTTTTGGTCGGAAAGCTGCTGTTGTTGTTGGTGTTGGATGTTTTGCTGTTTTGCAGCCGTTGGTTGGAAGTTGGAGGCTTGTAAGTTGATGTCTAGGGCAAAGGTGTTGGCCAACTTTTGGCTCTCCAAAGTGGGTAAGTGAAGGAAATGGGTTTGGGGTTGACCTAATTGGTAAGGGAAATCCTCCTCCTTCTTGCATGGGAAGTTGGAAAGATGGTGTGGGAAATGGGTGTGTGAGCTTTGATTTGGAGAGTCTAGGTCGGGCATGAACGACACCGGTTCGTCGTACCAACATGGTGATTCGTGCTCGTTCATTCTCCTTACTGTTGCTATTCTCTTCTTAAACACCCTACATACCACCCATCCTTCTTCCTGCATTCGAAAATCACGTTTAAAACGGTAAAATCAAACATCAATTTGATTTTGAATGATTAAAGACATGTTCAGGAGTAGTTCTGATCCCGACTCTTAAAATCACTTCCAAACATATCGTTCTTCCTGTGAAATAGTTAAAATCATTTTTCTTACGTTTAAAAGTGTAAAATCAAACATTAAATTAATTTTGAATGATTAAATACATGTTCGAGAGTAGTTTTGATCTCGACTCTTAAAATCACTTCCGAACATATCATTTTTCCCGTAAAATAGTTAAAATCATTTTTCTTACGTTTTAAAAGTGTAAAATCAAACATCAAATTGATTTTGCATGACTAAAGACATGTTGGGGAGTAGTTCTGATCCCGACTCTTAAAATCACTTCCAAGCATGTCATTCTTTGTGTAAAATAGTTAAAATTAATTTTCTTACGTTTAAAAGTGTAAAATCAAATATCAAATTGATTTTGAATGACTAAAGACATGTTTGGGAGTAGTTCTGATCCCGACTCTTAAAATCACTTCTAAACATGTCACTCTTCGAATGTAACAACTTACTTGTGGAGTGCCATTTTCATCTGTCTCGAGCCGGTACTCATGCATGATCCAATCGGACTTTTGGCCATTAGGAGCTCGACCTTTGTAAAAGACCAAGGTCTTTCTCATACCAACCAAGTCATGTTTAGAGTAGATAGCCTTGTCTCTGCCAGTTGCTTTCCAAAATCCAGCTGCAGTTGCTCTATTTGTTCGAGTTCCTGTCGGATACTTCTTGTCCTTGTGGCTGAAAAAGTACCATTCATTTTGATCCTCTGTCCCCAAACTACATATCTCTGTTCATCATCAAGTTTACAAGCTAATTGAGGTTAGCAATGGCAACTCATACATAATTAATGTAATTCTAAGCTACAAATTTATAATACCTTTGAGATCCCATGGTTCAATTTTGTAAAGGTCTACGTCCTTAATGACATCCAAGTCGATCCGTCTTGAACAAATCTTCTTCCTAAGGTAGTAATCCACAAGTTCTTCGTCGGTCGGGTGGAACCGAAAACCAGGAGGAACATGCAAGAACGTGTTCATCCTTGTATGACGTTACTCCTGAAATTTTCATCTTTCACAAAGTCAAAATTAGTCTAACAAACTTCCAAATCGGTATAGTTACCATTATGCTTTAGTTTCTGTTCATTGTTAACCTAAAACTAAAATAAGCATAACTCAATTGTAATTAACATTAACTTATCTGACCAGGTCAGTAGTTCAAATTATGTTTTTTTTTATCAAATCGATGATGACACAACCTAGGAAAAACTAACATGGATCATAGGAGTGTTAACAAATGGTTTATGTATAATTCACAATTATCAACAACTTTATATTATAATTTAAGCTAGGGTTTTGTGAATTATGAGGATAAGTAACAACGTTAATACTCGAATGATCTACAAGAAGAAAGCATTTTAAACGAATAGAAAACGAAACATTAATTAATCACGCATCAAAGTATGATCAAGTAACTAAATTGAATAATTGAAGTAATTTTCATGGTAGAAATCATAGCCTACATTTTGGTTAATATACATCTTTAATTTCATTAGGACAAGAGAATGTATGATCCACACACACACATAGGCTCAGTTATCATTAAAGTAAACTGTAATCATGAAAATTTTCTATCTTGATTTTTGTTGGGTGCCAATCAATGATCCAAAAAAAAAAAAGAAAAAGAAAAAACGTTTCTAGGAATCTTCTCTTACATTTCAACGACATAAAAAAGAAAACTTTATGAGATGTAACAAAATTCAACTCTAAATTGATTTTGTTGTGTGTTAGAAAGTGAATCACGAAGATCTTAACACAAAAAAGGTTGAAAATTAATAATACCCAGAAGAGAAAAATGTCATTTAAGATAGAGAGAGAGCTGACCCAGGAGGTAGAGTTGAATACAACCCTAGCTTGTCTTGTTTCTGCAATGGTTGGCAAAGAACCTTAACAAACAGTTGATCTGAGGTGGTTGGTTGGTCGGTCGGTCGGTTGGTCGGTCGGTCGGATCAGATCTGGGTTGGAGTGGAAGAAGGGAGAAGAGGTAGGGTTGTTTATATATACAAGGTTCTTCAACAAACCCAGAAGAAACCCTGAAAGGGAGTGGCTTCAGCTGAATTGGTGGCCAAGCCTGCTGAGCGAGAGAGACACACAGACACACAGACACACACAAATGAATGAATGGATGGATGCTTTTAATGGAGTTTATAGAGAGAGAGAAGGACAATGGAAGCTGGTGTGGGAAGTCAGGAGATATCTTCACGGCACAGACCCAATATGCATTCTTTATAACCCCTTTTCCATTACTACACAACCTCTTCTTTTTTTTCTTTGGTTGTGACGTAATGGAACAGCCACCTCGATAATTATTAAATGTGACCGTCCTCGTTTTACATGGACACAAATTGACTCTGACCGGTAGATATTGTCTCTTTTTATTTTCCTTCAATATTTTGAAATAAAGGTTTCCACACTCTTATAAAAAATGTTTCGTTTCTCTGCCCATTGATGTTGGATCTCACAATTTACACCCCTTGAGTGCTTAACGTTCTTGGTGGCACACTCTTAACTTGATATATTACTATATTATTCTACGTCACTAGCTCTCAATTTTCATACAAAAATTTAAACAGCGCATGCGAAAGGTCAATCATAATATTGCAACGGTAAAAAGAAACTAGGTTTGTTTGAAAGTTTCTATGCAAAATTGACTCGAAAACTATGGATGTCCCCTGTACTCTACGTATGCGAGTTCCTTAACCGAATTTAGATCAAGTTATTAGAGGTTCGAATATGGAATGGTGGCCCCACAAATGGGTCAAATAATGTTCGTATTCTAGTCCCTACCATTTTTGTTTTAAAACATGAGTCTGAAGTGCAATGAAACAGAGATGGTGTGATGATGATGGCGGTGGTGAGGGAGAGATCAGAGGCTGATTGCCATCTGCTGCTCTGTTCCTAAGAAATTTCATTGGCTTTGAGGATCAATGGATTAAAAAGATCATAGGTTTACAAGTAAGCTCGCGACAACTCATGTCAATATGAAGTGACCTAGAAGAACCAGAGCCGACTGGGTGAGATGGCAAGGCGATTGTGGAAAGTGGGACCCAGGAGGAGAAAATAAAATGATGAGTATACGTGGCGGCACTGGGTCCGGCGTGGGCTAGCCATTATCATTGACCTTGCAACTTGCTGGGTTCTCTGTCGTTCCGGCTGGCGGGGTCCGCCACATGGCCTCTTCTTGTGGGACCCATTACCTTCTGTTGTCTCATTCTGACTGGGTCCCTTCCCCCGAGGCGAGACTCGTGTCCCCACCTTTTTAATCAGCACCTTAACACGTGGAATTTCCTTTTTCACCCTTTTTCGAAGAAACATAATTTAAGCTAACAAACCTTCCTTTTCTTCAATTAAAAAATAAATAACAAATTTATTTAAAACTCTATTTTTGGAAGAAGTATTTAATAAGTTTAATAATTTTTAAAATTTTAAATTGAAGAAAATTAAAGGGAAAATAAGAGGGATCGTAGGAAATGAAAAATAAAATATAAACTCGGAAAAGTTAGAAAAATATTTAAATAAAAAGAAGAATTGATTTGAATGAATTAATTATCATATCTTACTTATGAACAAATAATAAAGAAAATGTGGGAATGATTAAAAATAAATAAATAAATAAAAAAGAGGGAAAGTACAAAACGGACTTTTGGGTAGCGTGGGGTAGCGATCCAATGAAGGCGGTCCCAGGGTACAAATGATGAGATCAGGGGTATGAGCATCATGAGTTTCCGTGCCCGACATTTCGGGCAGGGCTTTCTTCTCTGAGGTGGCATCTTCTGGATGGCAACCAATAGGAATCCATCTTCTCTTGGACCCACCATGACATCATCATTTTCTACCATTTTCATTTTTATTTTTCTTTTTAACAATATATCCCTAACTTCTTTACTTTTTCGTATTATTTATAAAATATGATGTTATTAATTAAATTAAACTTTATAACAAAATGAAATGTGTTGACTTTTGAGGTAATTAATGAGATTGACAATTAAGTTAATCCAAGCTTAATATATAGTTTTGGTGACATTTAATGAAATGAGATTTGTCACCTAAAGTTAAAATAATGACATAAATAGGAGGATGTATGATTATATTTTGGTTTATGGGTCGTCTTCAAAATCATTATAACTGCGATTGTATGAATCATAATCCCGAAATAAATAAAGCTTAAAAAAGTGCTAATATCCTAAATCATTACAAAATTACATAATTAATCTTACATATTATGGGTTAAGCTTCTTTAGTTTATGACGTCATTAATTCTATTAATTACGTTGGTATTCCAAATAATGACAATAATATATGTTCATAAATGAGGCCAGGCCCAATTGGTTATGTGAGATACATGGAGACCCATTGGGCTTTTTTTATTTTTTATTTTTATTGAGACAATTTGGATAATGGATTAAAAATGGCCCATTGAGCTTTGCCCTATTTTTTGTGCTCCCTCGTTCTCAAGCTCAGCCCCCTCGTATCACCTTCTACCTTTCGCGCCTTCCTGTTCTCGCTCAGTTTCTCTTCTCAGTTCTCAGTTTTGCTCTTCCTTATGTAATCTTCAGGTCTCCAAAGCTGCCGGAGTTTATTGCAGGTATTCTTATGTAATTCCGGTGTTTAATTTATTGGCCTTTCAAGCTCTTGTTCTCTTTCAGTTTCTGTTACACTCAATCCTTCTCGGAGCCATTATTTGAACCGAATATTGGAGTTGTAATTTCGTCATGTTTTGATGGAGTCTTCATCGTTCCTCACTAGGTTTACTACGTGAACTCAACTTGCCCCTAATGCCATACTGTTGCTTGTTGTTACTAGCATTGCGTTTTAGAGATGATACGGGGACGGCCCTGTAAATATTACCTCTCTGTGAACTTCAGGAATCTGGTGACGACTTGTACAGTCCCACTTGATCCTCCAGTTACTTCGAGTTCCTCTTCTGCTAGCGAACACAAGACTTTGTGCTATTCCTTAGTGGAGCAACTAATTCGTCGTGGCTTGTTTTTGCCGGCGCAACAAGTGATACAACGAATTGTAACGCAATCTTCTTCAATTTCTGAAGCTATTTCTATTGTTGACTTCGCTGCTGAACGGGGTTTGGAGCTTGATTTGGATACCCATGGTGTGTTTTGGCGGCAGCTTGTCTATTCTAGGCCCCAGTTGGCTGAACTGCTGTACGACAAAAAATTTACATTCAGAGGTGCTGAGCCAGATGCGTCAGTTTTGGACTCTATGGTAATCTGTTTCTGTAGGCTAGGAAAATTTGAGAAGGCACTGGCCTATTTTAATCAACTTCTGTCGTTAAATTATGTCCCAAGTAAAACTTCATTTAATGCTATCTTTCGAGAGCTTTGTGCGCAAGAAAGGGTTTTAGAGGCATTCGACTATTTTGTGAGAGTCAATGGAGGTGGTGTTCACTTGGGTTATTGGTGTTTTAATGTCTTGATAGATGGGCTATGCAATAAGGGGCATATGGAGGAAGCTCTTGAATTATTTGATATAATGCAAAACACTAATGGTTATCCTCCGTCGCTGCATTTGTTTAAGTCATTGTTTTATGGCCTTTGTAAGAGAAAGTGGTTAGTGGAGGCAGAGTTGTTGATCAGAGAAATGGAGTTTCGGAGCCTATATCCTGACAAGACTATGTATACTTCTTTAGTTCATGAATATTGCAAAGATAAGAAAATGAAAATGGCAATGCAAGCCTTTTTTAGAATGATAAAAATAGGCTGTGAACCAGATAATTATACATTAAATACACTGATCCATGGGTTTGTGAAATTGGGTTTAGTCGATAAGGGTTGGTTGGTATATAACCTTATGGCAGAGTGGGGAATCCAACCTGATGTGGTAACTTTTCACATCATGATTAGTCAGTATTGTCAAGAAGGGAAGGTTGACTTTGCATTAACGATTTTGAATAATATGGTCAGCTGCAACTTTTCTCCTAGCTTGCATTGTTACACAGTTTTGATTAATGCACTGCATAGGGATGATAGGTTAGAAGAAGTCAGTGAATTGCTTAGGAGTATCTTGGACAATGGAATTGTACCTGATCACGTGCTTTTCTTTACCCTTATGAAGATGTATCCAAAGGGACATGAACTTCAGCTTGCTTTAAATTTTTTGGAAGCCATTTTAAAGAATGGGTGTGGGTGTGATCCTTCTGTAATCTTAGCCAGTACAAAGTTACAAACATCAAGCAATCTGGAGCAAAAAATTGAAACGCTGCTGCAAGAAATTTTCAATAGCAACTTGAATCTAGCAGGTGTGGCATTTAGTATTGTCATTTGTGCCTTATGTGAGACCGAAAATTTGGATTGTGCTTTGGATTACTTCCATAAAATGGCAAGTCTTGGATGCAAGCCTTTGCTCTTTACTTATAATTCCTTGATTAAATGTCTTTGCAAGGAGGGGCTTTTTGAGGATGCCTTGTCTCTAATTGATCATATGCAGGAATGTAGTTTGCTTCCTGATACCACAACATATTTGATTATTATTAACGAGCATTGTAGGAAGGGTAATGTTAGCTCAGCACATTATATTCACAGAAAAATGAGGCAGAGGGGATTGAAACCGAGTGTTGCTATTTATGATTCAATAATTGGTTGTTTAAGTAGGAAAAAGAGAATTTTTGAAGTAAAAGGAGTTTTTAAGAAGATGCTTAAAGCGGGTGTGGATCCGGATAAGAATTTGTATTTGACAATGATTAATGGCTATGGTAAAAATGGAAAGCTTCTTGAAGCTCGTAAATTGTTTGAGCAAATGGTTGAGAACTCTATTCCACCAAGCTCTCATATTTATACGGCACTGATTAGTGGTTTGGTTAAAAAAAATATGACTGATCAAGGATGTTTATATCTGGGCAAGATGTTAAGAGATGGGTTTTCACCTAATTCTGTATTGTATAGCTCTCTTATCAATCATTACCTAAAGATCGGGGAGGTTGAATATGCCTTTCGATTAGTTGATTTGATGGAAAGGAGCCACATTGAACCCGATGTTATCTTCTATATCACATTAGTCAGTGGTATTTGCAAAAATTTAATTGTCGACAAGAAAAAATGGTTCCTGCTAGAGAAAGAGAATCAAAAGGCAAAAAGTACGTTGTTTCGTATGCTCCATGAAACAACTCTTGTTCCAAGGGATAATAATATGATAGTTTCTGCTAATTCTACTGAAGAAATGAAATCCTTGGCATTGAAGCTTATCCAGAAGGTTAAAGATGTATGCATTGTACCTAACTTGCATCTATACAATAGCATAATATGTGGATATTGTCGGACAGATAGGATGCTGGATGCCAATCATCAGTTGGAATTGATGCAAAAAGAAGGGTTGCATCCAAACCAGGTTACTTTCACGATTCTTATGGATGGTTATATTCTTGCAGGTGATGTTAACTCTGCCATTGGGTTGTTTAATAAGATGAATGTAGATGGGTGTATTCCAGATGAAGTTGCATACAACACTTTACTGAAAGGCCTTTCCCAAGGAGGGAGACTTTCTGATGCATTGGCACTCCACGTACAATGCATAAAAAAGGGTTTTCCCCAAGTATACTAGGTTATCGTAATTTTGTGAGGAATTGATGCATGGTAAACTCTTGCCTCACTGGAAAAGATGATCGGCCGTCTACATCCTGTGTGGAGAAAATCATTGCAGGAAGCCTGTTTTGCTTTTAATATAAAGCTTGAGAGGAGCACACATAAAAAGAAAAACCAAATAGGTATTTGGTGGATTCATGGATGAAATTAGATGGGTCATCATGGTATAAAATGCATATCAAGACAGACTCAGACATGACACAATCATTGAAAACGGAGGTTAGTGATGAAGATTCACATGGATTCTCTTTATTTCCCCTCTTAACCTTTTCCTGTTGCCTTTCTGGTCACTATTTTTGTACAAGTTTTTTTTTTTTCTGAACAAGACCTATCCAGTCAATATATATATATACATATACATATATTATTGCAGATGTTCATTTGTAGCTGTTTGACTTTAGCAAGATCCTTGTCTGCAACACTTTCCCATGGAAATCTTGGAATTTGCAATGTATAGGTAATTTGAATATTAACTTATTGCACATATGTAATTAAATTTTCATACCAACTTTTGGCTTATTACCTTGTACACGATGAACAGAAGTGCATGCCATGTAAATAATTTCTTACAAAAGAATAATAATAATAAATAAATGTTATTATGTTTCAGAACTCAAACAAAAGTAAGACATTATTTTACAAGTGTTTGACCTATGTCGGAGATCCTTCCTGATATCAAAGATGGACAAATGGGCTATGTTCAAAAGATATATAGAGGTTGTTTACGTCCAATCCCAAAAGACGATCTTTTATGGATGAGAGTTATCATTCGAACTTATAGGTTGGGTACTCTGGGCTGTGCATAAGAATTTCTTTGATAGGGCTATATGGGGCCTTGGTACCACAAGTGCTATACATTGTGGGAGAAGTTGATTAGCCACAAGATTGGGTTGGCAAATTGTATCGGGTTTCAGGGAGATACTTGTTGTAAATTGTCATAAGTTTTGATTTGATTTGGTTAGGTTATTTGGATTAGATTTGATTGGGTTATTTGGATTTGATTTGATTTGGTTATTTGGATTAGATTTGATTTGATTATTTGAATTAGATTTAGTCTCAGTCATATCGGAGATTTGATTCTGTAATGCTATATAATGAGAGAGTTCTCCCTCCATTCTTAATATCCATTCCTAACAAGTGGTATCGGGATTTGAGAGAGTTTTGGGTGTCACATCGTATTTGTTGAGTGACATATTGGTGAGAGACTTTGTAGTGTGAAAGTGAGGCATTCACTTGTAACACTTGGGTTTATTAGTGATTGATTGCTACTCGTGGATGTAGGGAAACTTCTTCTCTCCGAACCACGTAAATATCTTGGTGTCTCTTTGTGTAATTCCGTTCATTGTTGTTGTGAGTACATTTGTTCCGCTTTCGGCGCACAACAATACTTTGGTTGACCATCGCCCCTCTAGAACTAGAACCTTGTTGTGCTCTGGGCTATACAACACTACTTGCTAATAATCTCCTCTGCAATTTGATTGATATTTGTTTCATGTGAAACACACTTGGTCTTCTTCAAAAAAAAATTTTATGGTCTATTGTTCTTTGCATACTTATTTTATCTAACGCTTGGTTTTCATAAATTCAGTAAAAAAGTATAATTAAATTAAAGTATTGCCTCAAATTGTGGTACCAATTAAGTTTATTTTACGTAATTGGTAACCTTTACTTTTTTAAAATTCTAACCATGTAATACCCTCGTTTTGAATTTGTATATTCTTGAGCATGAAACAGCTAGGGGGAAATGTGCTTGCCAACATTGGCTTTTGATGTTTGCTATTTTACTCTTAGAGTTTAGTTTATATATATAGCTATTCTTCGGTTGTAATTGTGTTGAGAAATTCAATAATGAATTTTAGCTAGAGAGGCTTTCTCCTGAGATTTGGTTCTACTGAGATATTAATCCAAAAAAAAAAAAAAAAAAAAAACCGAGTTCCTCAATAGTGATTTGTAGTGTAATTGGAAATGGGTTTGTCGTTTGCTAGTTCTGATTTTATTAATGTAACTTTTCAATTTACATATATATGAGCTTGAATAATGATTTCTTAAATGTGCGTACAGAGATTAAAGAATCAAATGACGTGGTTATATTTATTTCAGAGGAAGAATGTAGAAAACCTATTCTCCAAGCGGAGTGAATGGGACCTCTGTCTGGCAACAATAACTGCCTTGCAAATGAAATTTTTGACGGTGAAAGGCGATACCTCCATTGAATTGCTTGTAACACGGTAACCTTTCCAGTCATTCTCTGGCTAGTTGATGAACAAGGAGGTAAGCTTTGTGGAAAACTGTTCGAGATTACTCCTTCCACGGCCTTCCCAAGTAGGTTTTCACTGTCTTCTCCATTTGTTTTGGTACATCTGTGGCCATGACCCTTGAATTGTGGATTGAAATGCCAGTATTCTGACCATTCATTGACCTTTTTGTTAAATCATGCAGTTCTGTAGAATAACTGCAGCATTGCCAAATATAAAATCTACAGTGCCGTAAATATAACACTACTTATAGAGCTGTCTTCGAAAATGGACATGAAGGGTTTCTTGATACCCTTGAAAGGCACAACGGTAGAAGACAGAAAGATCTGCGCCAGATCGGAGAGCAATTGCTTGATGGTTTCCAGGACCAGTGGTGTTCCGGAATGTGATGCCTCGGGCTATAAATCCTTCACCTGTCACCGCTGATTGTCTCAGAGTACAAGTATCTCTCGTTAAACATATACTCTTCACATTTTCGGCTTTTTGAAAAATAACCAAATTTTCGAGTTTTTTTGTATGAAAGTGGTAAATGTGATTTCATATTGCCATTTTTGGAATCTATAAAAGAAAGTGACAATGTATATTACTGATTGAAACTTGACAGCCATACGATGTATACGATGATGCATTTATGATGAAATTCGATAAATTTTGTTTTTGCTATTTTTATATTGATATTGACAAAGATGGCTGCCACTAATAATTCTATTCTCATTGGAAATGAAGGAAAGGAGAAAAGGAGAAAATTTCAAGCACCATGCCTTGGAATGGAAGAAAAGTAATTCTAGACGATAAAGTTGCCAGGTAGAGTTGATGGACTTGGAACGAGAAAAATATGTAGGTCGACATGTTATAATGTCATTATAATGGAGGAAAATGAGCTTATAAGCAGTAGTCAACCCAGAGAGAGTCTTACCAACAGTAGCAGAATTGAAAGGGGTGGAACCTCCTCCTATGTTACCAGTAATGAAGGTAAATCTCATTCCATTTATCTTGGTTCTGTCCGGATTTAGTGCAACTTTTTGCTAGTTTGAATTAGTCAAGATATTCGTAATCTGTCAATATTTGAAAAATATATTAGTTATGGAATATATCTTACATATTCGTAATCAGTTAGTATTTTTCTTTTTATGATTTGATTAGTAGTATATTTTATTTTATTCTCAAGATTTAGTTAGTTTATATTTTTCTTATTTGTAGGTATTAGTGGGTAGCTTCTATCCTATTTAAACGTTGTGAATATCAAATCATTTTTTCTTATTTGTAGGTATTAGTGGGTAGCTTCTATCCTATTTAAACGTTGTGAATATCAAATCATAAAGGAAAAATATTAACTGAATACAGAGTTAAGAATGAGAAATAGAATTGGGATCGAAGGTACAATCTTCGTTGATATTCACAACGGAATATATCTTACATATTCGTAATCAGTTAGTATTTTTCTTTTTATGATTTGATTAGTAGTATATTTTATTTTATTCTCAAGATTTAGTTAGTTTATATTTTCCTTATTTGTAGGTATTAGTGGGTAGCTTCTATCCTATTTAAACGTTGTGAATATCAAATCATAAAGGAAAAATATTAACTGAATACAGAGTTAAGAATGAGAAATAGAATTGGGATCGAAGGTACAATCTTCGTTGATATTCACAACGGAATATATCTTACATATTCGTAATCAGTTAGTATTTTTCTTTTTATGATTTGATTAGTAGTATATTTTATTTTATTCTCAAGATTTAGTTAGTTTATATTTTCCTTATTTGTAGGTATTAGTGGGTAGCTTCTATCCTATTTAAACGTTGTGAATATCAAATCATAAAGGAAAAATATTAACTGAATACAGAGTTAAGAATGAGAAATAGAATTGGGATCGAAGGCTCAATCTTCATTGATATTCACACCCTTTAAATATGATACAAGCTACCCATTAATACCTACAAAAAGGAAAATATAAACTAACTAAATCTTGAGAATAAAATAAAATATGTTACTAATCAAATCATAAAGGAAAAATATTAACTGATTACGAATATCTAAGATATATTTCATAACTAATATATTCTCCAAATATTAACTGATTACGAATATCTTGATTAATTCAAACTAGCAATAAGTTGCACTAAATTCTAACAGCCTCCCATAGTGCAAACTTATTTCTCAATAACTTCGAGAGCCTTACGAAAAACTTCAATTACTTGTAACCCCCTCTCTGTTACTTGTATAACAAACTCCCATTCATGTTCCTCTTCGCAGCTTCCTCTAGAGCCTCTCCTACTATCTTCTGGTTACCCGACCTGTCCTGAGCCACCTCAAGGTCCGACTTTGTTGATGACTGCAGTATGTTTCCTTCCCCAGGCCAGCTGAAGCATTGTTAATAGCCAAGCTGTTGCTTATCAGCTTTGTGACATTGTTCGATGTGATCAGCGGCAATACATAATCCGAAACATTAAGCTCAGCAAGCCCTGTGCGGCATGTTTCAAGGTTTGTTAGGGCAGTACTGAGCCAGGCTTGGATATCAAACAAAGTACATTTAGTAGATGAATCTAGAGCGTTGTTGAGCTGAAGGATGGTGTTTCGGTAGAGCTTCAAGCAATCAGCCAAAGCAAGCCTTTTCCTTCCCATTTTGGCACTTTGAATTGACACCCTTGGTGTGGCTTTCGGCACTCAGGGCTCTCTCCATGGCAGATTGGATGACCTTTGGGCGCAGCCTTGCTGCCATGGTTGAAAAAGTGCTCGCAGGTTGTAGGGTATGTGGTTTTTCCACACTACCAATCAATGTCATTAGAGGCTTGCTTGGGAAAGGCTGGTGAAGTCAGTAAAAAGAACTAAGAAACAAGAGCATCCCGAGACTACTCTCCATTGAAAGACCAGACCTTCCTTTCTTTGATGATGCTATGCTAGCTCACTCAGGTTTGGTTACGTGGGAAAGAAGAGACAGGTTGGCTGAGTTTGAACATGGAGAAAATAATGCAGTTTCAATGATCAAAGTCCGAAACTTCCATTCATGTGTCAAACATATATCTGCACCAGAACTCCTAACTTAGTTCTTCAAAAGAAGTACATGTCAATCATCGTTACACTATGTTCAACTTATAGAATTAGAATTAAATTATTTTTTTGACATTCATGCTAGTAGTTGGACCTGTATTGAAACTATGCTCTTTTGTGGCTTTGTGGAACGTAACAACGTTGTTGGAAGATGCGTCTGTTTCTCATTCGAACGCTCATTTAGTGTTACAAAATAAAATTATAATATTTAAAATATATAAGGGCAAAATTGACATAAATGGTAAATATATATACACACACGGTTGTTTGTTTGTTGTTTTAAGATATAGGGTCTGCAGAAAACCGCTATAACCGAGAAACCAAATGAACCATCCAGTTTGTACTGGAAGGAAGAATAACGCCGGTCGGAAGGCCCACTGGAACCGATGGCTCTGATTTTTCCTATCGCATGGTCGTCGACTCTCGTAAGTTCCCTCAATTTCTTCTACTAATTTCTGTTAGACTGTTGAGCAATCATGTATGACAATAAGTTGATTGATATGGATGAGAAAAACTTTTGTTTTCCTCTTTGTTTGGTCCTCATTGGTGCCATGTTTCTGCTCAGCTTTTGGGTTAGTGGAAGAGGATTTTCTAGCTCTTGTTTTTCAGGCATTGGAACAGGAAATGGGATTCATTTAGCTATTTTAATTGTCTTATTCAAATCAATTTCGGTTTTTCTGATGGGTTCTTCCAATTCTAGGATATCAAAAGGTTGCCAAGGGGAAATCTCGTTTCTACAACCTGATTTTAGCTCAGGTACATGCATTATATTGCTTTTACAGAAAATTTTGTGTACGTTTACTATCTGAATACTTATATTTACTTTCACTTGTAATGAAAAAAGCCTGAAACTTAACGAAGATTGATGACAGACAGTAGATAGTAGATGTCCTACAATGTCTAAAATGGTTGCCGATTTTTGTTTTCAAGATATAATTCACATTGTAATTTAGTAGCACAATGACGTGTATTAATCTAGTAAAAAACCAGTATCCTATTTATACATGCAATGAATTCTCGACTGAGTACATATAGGATTATTGTTCTGTTTCAAGAAATTGGAGTTAAACTATGATATAGAACCAGATTGCCCAGCTGCAAATGCTGTAGTCTCTATCCCATTTCCAGTCAAATCGACACTATGATGCTACTATTCTTGTGTCACAAATGTAAAGGCCATGCTTTTCAACAGAAGTGGATCCATTAATAGTTATGTTTGGATATAAGGAAAAAATTATTTAAAGCCAATAAAAATGGTGAGATATTTTCAATTTGATAGTAGTGTGATAAAGCCTCTATTCCTGTGAGATCCCACGTCGGTTGGAGAGGGGAACGAAACATTTCTTATATGGGTGTGGAAACCTCTTCCTAATAAACGTGTTTTAAAATCGTGAGGTTGACGACAATATGTAACAGGCCAAATCGGACAATATCTACTAGCGGTGGGCTTGGACGGTTACAAATGGTATTAGAGCCAGACACCAGGCAGTGTGCCAGCGAGGATATTGGACTCCCAAGGTGGATGGATTGTGAAATCTCACATCGATTGGAAAAGGGAACGAAGCATTCTTTATAAGGGTGTGGAAACCTCTCCCTAGTAGATGCGTTTTAAAACTGTGAGGCTGACGGCTATATGTACGGGCCAAAGTGGACAATATCTGCTAGCGGTGGGTTTGGGCTGTTACAGTTCCTGACTTCCTTGGATATCCAAGGACATCCAGATCGGTAATTTCCTAGTTCCTCTCACATTGTCTTTAATTGCTTGTGATATGAGTTAAATGTTTTTGTCTGCTGGAAGTTTGGTGCTGATTAAGGGTACCGTATGATTGTCACCTAAGTATCATGAAGGTCTATTGTCTGTGTGATTAATAAAGCTTTCATGAAATACTTGGTTCAATTTTTTCTTCAAGTTCTTTCGTCTTTGGTTTAACTGACTGGAATGCTTCCTAGTTCCTCTATTGAAATCAATGAACATTTATATCTACTATTTGAAATCAGACGAAACGAAGCTGGAAGAGTTTGGCGGTGACATAAAACCTCATATAATGATCTTATAATGTTTGCTTACCTTTGTGATGTTGGTTTTTACTACTGCAGGTTATTATTCACCTATGTGGAGTGGTATACTTGTTTATATTAACATCAAAGAAAGGTACTCTTGATAAACTTGCTATTTCATCTGCCATCACTGGTTTATTTTCGTTGTTTGTCGGAGAACTAGGTCGCTAGTGATACTCTAACCTTTTGCACCTATTTTCATACACATCTTTATATGTTTTAACATTAGTGGTTGATTATTTTCCAATGTACAGGCCGAAGGCACAGCCGTGCAAGCTTCATGAAAGTATATATGATTGCCTCATCTCTTGCACTCCTACTACTTCTTTTTGATGTCTCTCAGGGTAATTACACGTTTGAGGTATGGAAAACTAATCCATTTTCCGCTGTGCTGCTCTAAGAGAGAAATCAAATGGAAAGGTTATCGAGCAAGAGCTTAACTGGAATTGTTATGCATGTTGACTAGTTGAAGAAGCAATAGCAATGGAGACGATAAATTAAATTGGTGGGTAAAAATTTAGATAAGGATCCATCTGGGAGATCGCACAATGGTTGGATAGGAGACCGAAATATTGTTTATAAGAGTTTGGAAACTTCTCTCTAGTAGATGTGTTTTAAAAACCTTGAGCGGAAGCCCGAAAGAAAAAACCTAAAGAAGACAATATCTGCTGGCGATGGACTTGGGTTATTGTAAATGGTATCAGAGCCAGACATTGGGCGATGTACCAGCGAGGAGGCTGAGCCCCGAAGGGGGTGGACACGAGGCTGTATGCCAGTGAGGACGCTGGACCCTGAAGGGTGGTGGATTGTGAGATCCCATATCGGTTGGAGAGGAGAACGAAACATTGTTTATAAAAGTGTGGAAACTTCTTTCTAGTAGACGTATTTTAAAAACCTTGAGGGAAAGCTCGAAAGGGAAAGTCCAAAGAGGACAATATCTTCTAGCTGTGGACTTGGGCTATTTCACCATCTTTGTATTTCCCATTAATGAGCATGCCTTCTTCAAGCTTTTATAGTTGATGAGACTCTATAGATTCATTGTTAGCTTAGCTTTGTTACCCTTGGCATCTATACTTGAAAATGGTGGGAAGCTTCATTTTGATTGGCTGATTGTTTTTATAACTCTATGGCCTTTGATCACAGCTTCCATGTGGTAATGTCTGTTATGAATGGTGCTTTATTCTTCATTCTAACTGAGTTTGGACTCTCATGAACCATTTAGGGTATGGGGGATCTAAGTAATTGGAAGGCGAAAAAGCTCGAACTTTTCGAGATGATCCGCATTTGTCTTGGTGGGTTTCACATTACATAGGTTATCTTCATTGTTTTCATATTCATACGTAAGAACTAAGATTGGAATTCTGATATGTGTTCATACAGGGGCTCTGCCTCAGATATTTGCAACCAGCACAGTGATTTCCCTCGTCGGTAACATGTCTCTTCCAAAACGTGCCTCTTAATTATTGTGTACCAAACTGTTGTCCTTCTAACGACCAGGAAAGATCTCTCTACTGTTTCCTTCTGGATTCTGAATCCAAAAATCATGCACAAGAAGGCTTGGATTTGTCTTGTCTCTCTAAATCATTATTACAGAATGGTTTCACTTGGATGTTGAAATTGGTGGAGTAAAATATATAGGGTATAAACAAAATTTTCTGGAATTTTCTTTTTTGATGGGATTGACAATGATTGAACTCTTTTGTTGACATGCTTACAATACGCCTTCAATTATGCTGAATTAGTGTTCTTCAGCCCAAAAAATCTCTTCGAATCTACTTTCTCTTTTCTTTTTTGAACAATTAAAGTTGGCAGTTTATGCCACTTGCTTTTTTTAAATCATTTTGATTTTTATTTTTTGTTCACATGTTCTTGCTGTTCTTTGTGGACAGATTTTCGTTAATTTTTTGTTTAGTCTTCAAATCTCCCGTGAAAGAGATTTTTTTTTTATTTTTATTTTTGTCTTTGAAACTGTTTTTCTTTCCAATAATTTTGAATCACTCTGATTGTTTGGTTTATTTCATAATCATGAATAGTATTATACAGTTTTGTTTTATATTAATGCTTTTTATTTTTGAATTTGCAAAGATTGAAATTGCTAGTCAACAATTATCATTTTTACTTTGGAAAAATTTGACTTACATGGTTTTTTAATTGGATCGGGTTCTAAAATCTTTTGTAGTTCAATAATTACACGATGGAAATAAACCTATTGAGTTATAAATGATTTTACGCACATTCTTTTATTCCTTAAAAACTGACGTTTTTCAAGGTAATAGCTGTTTTATATTTTACCGTTAGCATACGAACAAAAAGATGATGTGACATTTCTAACCCTTTTTTTACCGACCCTACCTCCACCGCTACCCTTTACAATTGTTGGGACCCATTGTGCCTATGCTTTCACTATCGATCTCTCTCTCTTTCCCTTCTCTTTTTCTTTATTCGTTTTACTATTTTAATGTGATCCAAAATGGGTTCGTGTCGGATTAGCTAGTTGGTGAGACAACAACTTTTCAAGGTGATGGTCAGTAGCTAGTCCGACGAACAATAAGAGTCTGTTGCACCAAAGAAATAAGAGTCTGTCATGTGACAAAATGTGATTGAACTACTCGTAGACTACCTAATGCACCTCAAGTGCTAATGTAGAAGATAATGAATTCGATTTTTTCTCCGACCATCTTCACACTTAGTTAACTTCAATAAATTGAAAATACAATAATACATACCCCATGCCAATAATAATGCAAAAATAATTCAAACTTCCACACAAACCCTAATCAAACCTATTACTATGTATACAAACTAAGGCAAAACCTCCACTCCCTTAACTAAATATCATACTTACAGTTGCATTGAAATCTCACGCAAATTTAAGTATAGCAACACCAAATTCTAATGCAGCTCTGCAATCCGGTTGATCAAAGACAGAGCATTACTGGTCAACTGCGCAATGTTCACAATCCTCCTCCTAACCGCCGCCTTAACGCCGCCCTTGACAGCCTTCCCTTGAAACCCCTCACTACAAGTGGTCTCATCAGTGAGGGCGGCGCTGACCCATGTCTGAACATCGCTCATAACGAGATCAAAGTCATGGCCACGTAGCTTGGGCATCTCGGAAATGGAGCTGGCAAGGGAGTCAACAGAGTCACTGAGCTCTTCCAAACAGTCGTTAAGAGCAGAGACGTCTCTTGGAGGGAGGCCGTGGGCGTGGGAGAGCTTGAGGATTTGGGTGGCGGCGGACTTGACGGAGGAGAGGGTGACAGAGAGGGCGGTGGTGGCCAAAAGGCGAGGGCTTGTTTGGATGGAATTGGCGTGGATTGAAAGAGATGAGAAACAGAGTCGAGGGTATTTAGTGGAAGTGCAAGAAGTTCTTATGAACTGTGTGCTGCTTTGTGGAGTGATGGCTGAATGAATGAATGTTAATTGGAGAATTATTTGCACAAAAATCAAACTTTTCTTGCAAATTGAAAGACCCATCTCTTCTTCTTTTTTTTTTTCTGTCTCGAAATGGTTGGAAGGAGTGTTTGGAAGGAGTGATGCAGTGATTCAGGGAAATGGGGTTTGTATTTATAGGCCAATGGAAACGTTCTAAAGCGTTCTCTAGGTCCCCTGCATGCATTCATACACATAAAGCTCTTCGATCTGTTAAGGCCGTCATAATGTAGTTACCAATATTTATCATTAGATAATTTTTTAAATAATTTTTTAAAAAGAGAGGGCAGCCAGAGATTGCATAGCCGACAACAATGGTCCAAAACCATACAAATATCTTTTGCTTCAGATATTTTACTTTATCTTTATATTCTATTGATATGCACAGACAAAGATATTTGTGTTACACAATCAATCTGGTGGAAGCTTTCATGAATAATAAATTATATTTTTCTAATTTTTTCTAATTTTGCCCTTAATTAACTCTTAAATATTTACTTAAAATTATTCTCTTTCACGAAACACACTTCTTTACTTATAAAACTCCCTTTTCTTATACGTAACTCTTTCTTCTTTTTGTTGTCCGAACGTTTATCTCTTCTAAGTTGTTGAAAACAAGTGGTAGACGCTTCTACTAATGGAGTTATCAAAGACATACCATACATCGTATGAGATCTTAGATAGAATAGACTCCAACCATTACTTGTGTCCAACTAATGTAAAGAGTAATCTAGAAAAAAAAGAAAAGATAAAGAAAGTACTAAGAGTTGATGCTTTGACTTGTATCGATGCTTAATTAGTCTCGTGACTAATATAGATTATGATATTGAGACAAGGTTTAACGACTAATGCACCAATCAAGACAGTAACTTTAATGACTCGAGGGAGAGTTGAATCTTTTATATATTGTGGAGAGCAACTGTAGTTAGGCGAAGAGGTGCAATGTATTTAAGGCAAAGACATGCAAGTTGATTTTGTAGGGAAATGATAGATTTAATAAATTAATACTCAAAAGAAAAAAGATTTAAGATATTATTTAAATTCATAAATAATTTGTTTTTTTTTTTTTTTTTTTTTTTTTTTGGGCGTTTGCTCGATTAGATGAATGCGAGCGATGAGGAATAAGCTTTCTCTGTTTGCTAGGAGGGAAACTTGGGAAGGGTTAAGGTAGAAATAGATGGTTCAAACTTGGGAAGACTTTCTCTATATCATTCATTATTAAAGCGACAATGAGGGCCGAAGCTCGTATGGATACATTACTTCATTGTTCTATGTTATGTGAGACCTTGCACTATGTACATAATCTTTGAGAGTCATGAAGAGTCTTGCCAACCGCGGTAAGAACAAAATCAATAGTGTCGATTTTGGGAAACTCTACTTGACAAAGGGGTCAATTAGTTAGGACGATCTGTGATTGTTGTGTCGTCGTGGCCCAAACGAAAGTCAAAAGACACTTGAAAAGATCTTTAGGGAAAGAGATAGAACTCCCCGTATAAAGAGAAAGGAGGCAGATTGGTTAGAAGACCGAGGNTTTTTTTTTTTTTTTTTTTTTTTTTCTCTGTGGGACATTGATTTTTGCAACTTGATCACATGGATTTAGGCCCAAAAAAAAAGGACCATATATATTGAATTATTTTGAAAGTGGGCCCCTAAAACGACGCCGTTTGATATGTGAATGAAACGACGCCGTCTGACCACAAAAGACGTGATGGTCCGATGCGATGTCTATTTCATCTCATTGCTTTTGTTCTTTTCTTTTCTTTTTATCAATTTTTTTTTCATATAATTACTTTTATATTATAAAAAGAAATTAAACCATTTTTTTTATTTCATAAATTATGAAAATGACCTATTTAAACAATGTATTTTAATAATTTGTATGATTAATAAATAAATTTCTATCATATAAACTCTAGCTGAAATTTAAAATAAAAAATATATATATATTAAAAAAAGTTATAATTGGATATTATTAAAGTGGAAAAATGAGAAACATAATCTTGAGTGGATAAATAATACCAAAATTCAATGGATATATAAATAACGACAAATTTTCATTAATTTTGATGGGCCCAAAAAATGACGTGGAACCAATCAACGTCCGAATTTGGGCCAACCGTTTCCAACTTTGCTTTCTCGAAGGCTGCGTAGATTATTTTAAATTATAAAATATAAAGTCTAATTTGTACAACGTTTTATGTTTTTAAATCAATTTTAATCATTTGATTAATATTCTGATGAGAAGATTATAGATTTATATTGAAGGCGATAGATACTCATTTTCAATTAATATTCTCTTAAGAAACGTATTAATTTTTATTAATTATTGCACTTAAAATAGCCTTAATAGAAAGTGTTGTTATTAAATAATTTATGGGGTAAATTTATAAGATATTAAGAGAGATGATTAATCTTAAAATGAATAAAATAAAAAGGTGTGGTGTGACAGGTTTTGTTAGATGGACAAAAGCATTTAAGGTTATCATGTGTTGAAATTGCAAAATAATTCACTTCATTGTTCATATATATATATATATCCTATTCGAACCCCATGTGACCTGCTCAACCCGATCAAAACACCATTTAAAGCTACCCATTTTCATACATATACCTCTTATAATATATAGTTTTTTTTTTATGTTAATATTCTCTATTCCCACTACTTTAGTTTAATTTGTCTATTAATACATTATTCTTAAATTTTATGTTGTATCAGATTTCCTCAAATTAAGAAATTCTTAATGTTGAAAAATGTACCGTTGTTCCAATTAAACCCTTAAAATACAAGTTTATTACAATAAAATTCCAATTTTATACATCAATTTTTTGTTTTCTTCAATCAAATTGAAACGAAGTTATGGGTAGGAATGAGTTATCCATTTGTTTCTGAAAGATAGCTAGCTGACTCATGTGACTCGTAGATGTCTACTGAGATGGAGACTCGCACCATACCTTGAACCTAAAGTCATCTTATTTGTAAGGCATCATCTTGACTTGGAGTCGACCTTCTAGTTATTAATCAAGATTTTGCTCAACATTTGATCACTTGATACATTGTGCCAAAGTTAACGACAAATCCAGTACAATGTGAACATGATTTTATATGAATGGCAGAATTCACTCTATACGTTACTCCACAATAATAATCTTACCCAGTTTAACACTACCTTCAATCATGTCCTAACTTTAGAGTATATTAAACATAGACAACTTTGTATTAGTATTAAATTTCTCTCCAAGTCTCAATTTTAGTTTATAACCATGTTTCAATTTTAATAGTGGTCGGTACACGTGAAATTTTATATCAGTCAGAGAGAGGACAAAACATTTGTTATAAAGTTGTGAAACTGACTCTTTAATGAAATTTTGATATTTAGGGGATTAATAAAAATAAAAATTGAAAATGTGACTCTTTATTGACCAAAAACCCCTTTTGCATGCAAATACTCCATGTCTATAGTATCATGGAATGTTCGCGAGTAAATTGACCAAACTACCCTTGAAGGGAGCAATTAACGGAAACAGACCGTACTTTCAGTTGAGATACACCAGCGGTCCAGCGCGAGATTAGCAGCATTTGACGTGCAGTAAAGTGCACGTGACATGTGTGTTATACGCTGGATTGTTGGGGATTGTTTGACTTTTGGACGGTTTGATCCTCATATGCTTGACTTTTCTAATGGGGCACATGCCTCTTCCGTAGACCTGCACGCCTCAGATTCCTTCAACTTTAGCCTTTTTTATTTTGCAAATTTATTGGATTATTAGCATTGATAACATCAAATAAAATTCACTAAAAAAAATTAAATTTAAATTTAAAGAGCGATTTAATCTCAAGAATTTAGTATTTTTTAAAAAAATAAATCTCTAAAATGCATATTCCAATTTCAAATTAAGGACAGCAAATTTATCGCCGTATTTTCCTCCTTTCTTGAAAATAATTATTTCTACTTAGGGTCACTATTTTCTTTTTAAGATTTAAAATAATGAAATTTATTTTAAAAAGTCAAAGTCCCAAAGTAGTCAACATTCCAACTTTATCTGTTTATAACACCCATGCTTTAATTAACTCACATGTAAACTCATTTTAATCAACAAATTTCCTCATAAATATCGTTTATAAAATTAAGTTTTAAAAATAAAATAGTTATTAAATTAGATTAAAAGTATTTGGAATTAATATTTACATAATGTTTGTAACCCTCATGTTTTTGTGGGTGCCTATAAATATAGCAATTATCTCCATAACCTTCATCATAAAAATAACACGACCCTCATAGATTCTATACGCAGAGATATAATGAAATCCTTGCTAATCCTTTTCTTCTTCATTTTAACTGCCACATTCACCACCTCCGCCGTGCCTTCTTCTCCCTCCGCCGTGCCTTCTTCTTCCTCCGCCATTCAGCCGGTGAAACCACACATCAAAAAGGCCTGCAGGCCGACGCCATATCCACGCCTTTGCGAGACCGCGCTCTCCTTATATTCTTCACAAACCAAAACAACCCAACAAGAGCTTTGTAGGGCTGCCGTGGTTTCTTCCCTCAAAGCTGCACAAAACGCCACCTCCATAATCTCCAAATTATCTCGCCGGAAGGTGTCGCCCTATGAAGCCGAGGTCATCGGAGATTGCATCGATAATCTCAAAGACTCCGTCTACGAGCTTCGTAGAGCTACCACTGCTATCAAAAGTTTGAATCGTGCTAACAACGTGGAGTTTCAGGTTGTTAATCATAAACTTTCAATTTCATCCGATTACTTTAAATTAGATTCTAATGAATATGTTCTTAACCAGTTGAGTAGTATCAAGACGTGGTTGAGCGCGGCAGGGACCGACATTGTGACATGCACCGATGGGTTGAGCGGGGGCGCGGGGTGGAAGGTGAGATCGACGGTGAAGAAAGAGGTGAAGAAATGTAGTGTGAATGTAATAAGGCAGACTAGTAACGCCTTGTCTCTCATTAGCAACTTGAAGTACAAATGATGAGGTGAGTTTTAGAAGAAACATCGTGAGAAGATGTTTGATGAATGAATTATTATGATATATAGTTGCAGCTTTTAATCTTGTTTACAACCCTTTTAAAACTATATAATATAATTTCATTAAAACTATATAATTGAGTCATTATTATTGTATGCTTTGGATTTTGAGTAAAGTTATAACTTTATGTTATATCAATTAAAAGAATTGATGATATCAACACTTTTTTTTTTTATTTCTCTTAATAAAAATTCAATTTTATTTAATTCTAAGTTATTAATTAATTATTACAACTTTTATTTATAATTTGGATACGATGTACCACCGATGAAGATACATATTAATCCTATTTATTGAATTTGTAGATTAGATAGTGTAACGGCCTAAGTCCACCGCTAGTAGATATTGTTCGCTTTGGCCCGTTACGTATCGTCGATAGTCTCACGATTTTAAGATGTGTTTACTAGGGAGAAGTTTCCACACCCTTGTGAGAAATGTTTTGTCCCCCTCTCCAATCAATGTGAGATCTTACAGTCCACTCCCTTAGGGCGAACGCTGACACATCGTCTGGTATATGACTCTGATACTATTTCTAACAATTCAAACCCACTACTAGCAGATATTGTCCGTTTTAGTCTGTTACGTATTGCTGTTAGCCTCACGGTTTTAAGATGCGTCTATCAGTGAGAAGTTTTCACACTCTTATGACGAATGTTTCATTCCCCTCTCCAACCAACGTGGGATCTCACAATCCACCCCTTTAGAGCCTAACGTCCTCACTAGCACACCATTAGTGGTCTGACTCTGATATCATTTGTAACAGCCCAAGTCCACAGCTAGCATATATTGTCTACTTTAGTCCGTTAGTATTACCGTCAGCCTCACGGTTTTAAAACGTGTCTACTAAAGAGATGTTTCCACATCTTTTTAAAGAATGCTTCATTGTCCTCTCTAACTAAACGTGAGATCTCACATATAGACTCAAATATTGAATAGAGAGAAGATCAAGATCGCTATTAGCTCAACCACGCTCTCGGTTGCCCGATGAAGGAAGCTAAGCAATGATCGTTTGAAGCTCGCATAAAGCAACTCATATAAGTTGAACTCTGACGCTTCTTTTACCATGTGAGTGGTGGAATTAGGAGCAAAAATGGTCGTAATTCCATTGAGCTATGAGGTTTACTAGTTTTGTGGGGCACGTCGAAGATGTTACTCTGTTGGGCACTGTTATTACAGCTGAAGAAGCATAGATTTGCTCTTTTTAGGTCGAAACAAATACAATGATTCTTTGGACTCTACTTGAAGGATGAGACCCTTTCAACAACCAAATTTAAGCTTTTGTTATGCTTTCTATCAAGCTAAACAGTCATCGACGGATTAGAATGGTAATTTGTACATTACTCGCTCAGTTATATTGAATTGATTAGTGCATATAGTAAGGATATTGAATTGATTAGTGCATATAGTAAGGATATTGAATTGCATATAGTAAGGATATTGAATTGATTAGTGCATATAGAAAGGAGATCTCATGATTTACCAAAAACTGTAACGGACAATTTTGGTACAAATGATGAAACTTATCACATTCACAATAGTTGAGAGAAATAGAGATATTATGTGTTAATTGTAATAAAAAAAAAAAAAAACAAAAATGAACGACAGCTTTCTATAGATTCGTGATCTCATAATTCAAACTCACATGCAGTGTTGTTCCATGTTTATCCCTTTGGACTTTTTTTCCATTTTATTTTAAATAATTTATTTTTGTTTTATTCTTTATTTTGTATATGTCCAGCCCTTCAATCAAGGAATGGAGAGGGCCCTACTTTGCTGTCCTCCTTTTCAACATTTAATTTTGTTCCTCCCTTTTCAAAGATAGAATTCAAAATAATGTTGATAAAAAAATATATATATTATTTAATATTTGAGCGACAAAAATGGCATAAATCAAAATGTAAATATTAGGTAGAAATAAATATTTGTATTTAATGATTTTAAGCTTGTGGATGTTGGTAAAAGTGGGAAGTGTAATCATATTATAATTTTGGTAAAGTTGAACTTATAAAGGAAGTTTGGTAAAAAATCAAAAGGAGTTTGTAGATATACACAAGCATTAAAGACGTGTAAAATCAAAGCCTTTCTATGCTTTAGTGGCTTAGGCACACATCACAATGCTTACATTTTTCTATTGTGACAAGGAATACACATCCATATATGATAATAACAAAGAAAAGGAAAACGAAACAAGAGTATCTATTACAGTTGCACACAAAATACCCTAAAACAGAGCAAGCACTACATCCTTATGGTTGCATTTACCACTTCAAAACACTCAAAAACTCTCTTAATATACATCAAACTCTTGACAGATTCATCTAATTCATCTTCAGATGCAGAAGCAGTGTAGGGATTCGAAGAACCTGAAGTCGCATCTCTAACTTTCATTTTCAGCGTACTTGTTAATCAGAGACAACGCATTGCTTATGACTCGAGAAACATCCACGATGCGAGCTCTGATCGAAGACTTAATTCTTCCGTTCAGCGCGGAGCCGGCAAATCCGTCGGAGCAAGTGTTTTCGTCGGTCATGGCAGCGCTCACCCAAGTCTCCACGTTGCTCATGTGCCATTGGAAGTCCTTCTGCTTCGATCCGCTAACGCGCTTCAGTTCCTCGACTGATTTGCTTAGTCGATCCACGGTGTCGCCGACCTCCTCCATACAGTCCCTCAAGGCCGCATACTCTCTCTTCTTCAAGCCACTGAACTTCGTCATTTTCCAGACGAAGGATCGGGTGGATTGAGCGCGTGAGAGGCTCACGACTAGGGCGGTTTGGACTAGTTGGCGAGGGTTTTGTTGGATTGTGGAAGCGAAGGTTGAGAGGGATTGGACGCAGAGGTCAGGGTAAGTTGCGGCGCTGCACTTCGATTTGATGAAATTGGAAGCTCCGCCGTTACGGGCGGCGCTGGTGGTGGCGGCGATGGTGAGAATGGAGAGGAGGAGGAGAAGGGAGGCGGATTTCGCCATTGCGAGATCTGCAGAAACGCAAAGGGGAAGAAGAAGAGATGAAGGGTTTGTTTGTCGACCGAAAAATTGGGGGTCGTGTATTTATAGCGAACGGGAGGAGGTCTGAACGCAATGGCAATCCGTGTAATTTGTACGTTTTGTAATCGCGCTGCCTTCTTTTTTTATGTTCACACTTTTTTTCTTTTAATTTATCATTAAATAATTTTTTGGTTTTTTAAATTATGCTAATTTTAAAAAAAAATATTATTCATTTATTTTCACAATTTTTATGTCGCTAAATTTCAAAAATAAAAAATAAAAATTTTAAAACTATTTTTTTTTTAATTTCCAGAAACTTACTAACCAACAAATTAATCAATAGATAAAAATAAGTACCGAAGAAATATTGTTATAAAAAAATGCAGTAAAAATTATTTAAAAATTTCATATAATATAATGCAATGACTATATTAATTTATATTTTCTTTATAAAAGATGTAAATAAACATTTTTGAATTATTTCGCTTAGTCACAATCTCCATTTAATACAAAATCATTAATTTATATGGTTCACCACCGCCTAGATTGTTGAGAGTCATTTCTCAACTATGTACTAAAACTAATAATTATGCTTTATACACAGGTTTATATTTTTATTTAATTAAAATAAAATAATTTAGAATATCTAATTAAAGGGTTAAAATCCTAGTTTGGTTAAATGTTAAAAATCAAATCAATGAAAAACAATTAAAAATGAGTTTATAATAACAGAGCATTTAGGACTGCATGAACAAAGATAGAGACTTGTTGTAACGGAAGCAACAAAACAGTCAAAATCATAATTTTTTTTATTTTTTATTTTTGCTACAAAACAAAAATTATTAAAAGAAGAATCTTTTGATGTGTCAACTTAATTACAAATATCAATTTTTCATTTGTACATAACGAAAGGCATAGTGGATATGAAATTAGAGGTCATTAAAAAGAAATAGAAATAGAAAATAAAAGGGGATTTATCTGAAAATGCATTTCAAAAAATGGGATGAAAGTCAAAGTAAAATAAATGGGTAGATGAGAATAGGATTTTCTGTCCAAAATATATTTATATATAAAGAAAGTACATAAATATTTTTGAAAAAATATATACCAGAGGGACCAATATTTGCCTGCCGACATTACACAGACCAGCTCACTAGCAGCTTCATGCTTTTGTCGGCTTTCACATGATATTTATATTTATATTATTAATATACTTGAAAAAACTGTATAAAATTTTCTCTAACAAGTTTTAATTTCCTTAAATATTCCACCATCACCGCCTATAATTGAGTTGATTCATTTTATTCTCGAATATTTTAATTTCGTGTTTTTTAATTGGGCATACCAGTCAAATTAATTCACATGTTTTTTTTTTTCTCTCTTTCTATATTTGATTACTTTTATTTGTAAATAAAATAATTGAATAACTTTAGGTTAAATGATAAAATAAAATAAAATAAAATAAAAAATCGAAAGCAGGTTTTGAAGGGGATAGTACTATAGATAAGCTGCAATCGTAATAATAATGTCTGGACCCTCCCTTCAATTCAATAATTGTTTTTTTCATTTATTTATAAATAAAAAATCTTGTGACGTGTCCTTAAATATCATTACAACCATTAATTTTTCACAACTATATTTCAGTTTTCTTTTCAAAAATATTTACAAAACTACATAATTTTGTTCATAAAAAATATATAATAATAGTTTAAATTATTAGAAAATAATGTAATGGAAGTTTATAGTTGGAAGTTGAAATAAAATTGGATTTGAGTTTCAGTCAATGTGTGCTACCTTGGTGGGGCTGGGACGTCAAGTCTACAGTCAGGGTGTTCTTAAAGTAAGTCGGTTCCATTTCTTGCCTATATTATAAGCCTATAAGGTGATTAATTAAAATGTAATTATTATAATAATTACACATCAATTTGGGATAAAATTTTGTTTTCCAAGATTTTGCATCATGCGGTGGCCTTTGATTCCCCTATTATAAATTCGTAGTTAAAGTTTAAGGCCTTGGATTCTCTCACAATTATTAAACTAAAAAATGTCTTTTAATTTTTATATATGAAGCTTGTTGGACTAGTTTAATCCTAATGGTTCTTTTTTTTATTAACATTTGAATTATGAGTTTGCATTAAAAAAAATTAACTAATTATTTATGTCTAATAAAATTTTATTTTAGCTTTTGTGTCTGCAATTGTTAAATATTTTTCACAGGAATCATGAGCGTGACCAAAACAAAAAAACAAAACAAAGCTGTAATTAGGGAAATGAACTCACAATGATCTTCAACGGAAATGAAGGGTAGCTCTCTCCAGGCACAGACAGGGATCATCCTCCACGTAACTTATAACGTAAGCCGATTAATCAACAACACAACACTTTCATACTCTAACCTGCTTCTGAACAAAATTGATTCCCGTCAAGAAAAAAAAAAAAAAAACAATGTTTGGGAGCTGATCAACAACGTGTGGAAAACAGAAACAAAATACCTCAAAATGAAATGATGAAAAAACTGGATGAACTTGTTTGTATATTTCATCCACTGTTCCAACTCCATTAATCTGCAACATTTTCGCAGTTAACGAAGGTATGAATTTGGATTCAATAAGCTCAAATAACTGGTCAAGGCAAGTAATAATAGCAGCATGCCTCCAACACTAGAAGGAGTTGAATAAAATACCTTGTAAAGCTTTCCCTTCTCCAGATAATGATTGACTACAGGAAGATTTAAGGCCGTGAAAACTTTCAGCCTTTTCTTGATTGTGTCAATGTTGTCATCAACTCTTCCCTGCAAAATATGTCATTTTGAGATGGTAACGGTGAGAGAGATTTCGACACCGAAAGATTAGTTACCTGGTTACGATTGAGCACCCGCTTCACCATCTCATCTTCTGGACAGTCAAAGAAGAGTACAACGTCTGGTTCTGCCCCAAACTGCATCATGAATGACAGAACTGTATTATACACCAAGCAGGTCTCTCAAGCATATATGTTAAATTGCAAAAATGTGGAATATGTGATTTTTCATCGTTAGATCTCAGTATTTGTGAGATCTCAGTTAAAAGGAGAACAAAGCATTCTTTAATAGAAATGTGGAGAAGCCGGAAAAGGGAAGCCCAAAAAATACAATATCTTCTGACAATGGGCTTGGGTTATTACAAAGGGGTGATGTGCCCCAAAAAGGAAGTTGAGCCCCAAAAAGGGCGAACACGAGTCAATGTGCCAGTAAGGATACTAGGCCCCAAAGGAGATGGATTGAGAGGTCCCACATCGATTGAAAAAGGGAACAAGTGTCAGCGAGGACATTAGACCCCAAAGGAGGTGGATTGTAAGATCTCACATCGGTTGGGGTTGGGGAGGAGAGTGAAGCCTTCTTTATATGGGTGTGAAAATCTCCCCCTACCAAACGCGTTTGAGAAGTCCAAAAGGAAAAGCTCAAAGAAGACAATATCAGCTAGCAAGCGGTTAGAGTTGATTTATTAAAAAAAAAAAAATCTTCACCACAGGAAATAAGAACTGAATAGAAAGAGTATGGTATAGAAGAAACTTACAATTTGTTCGAATGCTTTCCTGTTGTCCTCACTCCGTGGGAACCCATCAATGAGAAATTTATAATTGTCACTTAATTCCATTTCCTTTTGAATAAGTTTGATCGTCAACTCCGAAGGAACTATTTTTCCTTCCTTAATTGTGTTGAGAATCATGATGCTGAAAATAGAAATTCACAATCAATAGACATCGTCAGAGGTTAGATGGATATGGAAGTTTTCTCAATAAGGAAAACGAAGCATAATTACCCATCTGCACTATTAGAAGCTATTTCCCTCCTTAATAGCTCTCCAGCACTCAAATGTGTAAACCCAAAGTTCTCAACAATCTTCATACATTGTGTACCTTTGCCACTTCCAGGGCCACCTGAAAGCATTGCCAGTTTTAGTATATTCAGGCCTAATATATAAGCATCTAGGCCATCTCATTGAAATTGAGGACATCCTTTCTTCTGTTCTTCCTTACAAGAACCCTTTATTTATGCAAATCCTGACATTTCCGTATTGTTTAGCCATACGGTATAGCCAGTATTGTGGGCATGAGAATTTGATGTTTATGATACTGTACCCTTCGAGCATGAGTTTGCCTTTTGTTTTTCCAAAAAAAGGCCTCATACCTATGAAGATGTATTTCTTAGGTATAAACTCACGATCCCCTTAATTAGCTAATGTAGGACTCCCTCCCAATAGTCCTCAACAATCATCCCCTCGAACAACCTCCCTTTAATCGAGGCTCAACGCCTTGTATGGAGCCCTCAAACAAAATACACTTTTTATTCGATATTTAATTCACTTTTGACTACGTTTTTTTAGGCTGAAAACATTATAATAGGGACCTCCACGACAATGAATTAATAAACTCTTAAGACACATTACACCCCCGTTTCGTTCAGTTCCTCATCCAGCTTCATATTAAGACAGAACAATACATGTACTTGGAATATTGAAGAACCCCCACTGAGAAACAAACATGGCGATTTTGAAGCTGACTAAGCAAGGTTCATATGTCATCGCTAGAGCTATGAACCTTACTTTTAAATGCTTTGAGCCATAAGCCTTGGAGGAAAAGAACTCCAAAATAGATGAACTTATGTTCACCCTTGGCTTCCTAGTCACCTTCTAGATTATGACGGAACTATGTATAATTGACCACAAAATCTAAATAAAGAATCCTTCACTGTCAACAAAAATGAAGAGGAGGAAAAAGCAGGGAACATTACCTAATACAAAAGTTATGAATGGCGTTTTAGCTCTTTGATAGGTAGTTTTTTCCTGCACCCAAATAAAAAACAATCCAAAAATTACTCCAAACATGTAGACAGAATGACATAAATAAACAACAGACGTGCATATAAATCTTCAATGTGGAGCAAATGCTTCAACGTGTGATCACTAAGGTATTTTCCATTTGATTAAGAGAGGAACTGTGGCATGATATGAAGAATCCGGAGACAATAGTGAGGCTAGGCAAAATCATATTACCTTTCTGGGTATTTCAGTGGTAAATGATTCCCAACACTTAAACGTACACGCATTCTGCAATGGTATCAGCAATAAAAGAGGTAAAACTGGTTATAAGGCAAAAAAAATGAACACAGTTTTTATACGGAGCAATTTTACAGCACAAACTTCGGTGAGTCGTATTTCTTAAAAGTAGAGAAATGGAGCATGGAGAACAATGGAATCCCTAAATATTCATAAACTTCGATAAATGCGTATGGTTGTAAGAGATACGCATTATTTTTCCAATCAAAACCCAAACACGCCAATGAAATAAGTTGCTCCCAGAAGAAAGTGAAGAGCAATCAACACATTGGCTGCAGCCGCAGCCGCTCATTGCTAGCTAGCTCGAGATATCAGAGTATGCGTAATTACTTACCTTATTGACAGTGGACTTGTGGGCGAACGTCAAATGAGAGACTGAAGTAACTCGTCTCCACATCTTTTGATCTCCTGCTCTCTTCCAGAAGCTGTATTCTAGTTGAGCAAGATCGAATGGTTCATGGGATTAAAAATTTTCAGTGAGACATTTGGTCGAACACCTGAAGTGCGTAGTTGAGTTGGGCTCAAAACCAATGTTACCCACGTAGCTACAAGCTGCTGTCAAGGTCACCTCCGGAGGTTGATCATAAATGGGCCGGACAGGAACGCCATGAAACCGGCATGGAGTCGGATCCACGTTGAGACCTCGCGCAAAGGGACTTGGATTTCACCAAGGGAAGTCCACGATCATGTCATTTTTAATTTCCTACAGTATGAGCCCTAAAAATAAATTCCGTTTTTAATTAAAATTTTAATGTCATAAATAATTAATTTTCTTCAGCTTCTTTCTTTTTTGTTTCCTTCCTTACGATATAACTTTGTTATAATTTTTATTTTCTTGGCTTAAAGCTTGGAACATTACAATTCTAAAATATATTCCATCATAAAAAATTATTATTATTAATTAATAACACCACAATAATATTTATAATCACATATTATATTTATGTTTTTTTTTTGCAAGGGAAAACTTTTATTTGAAGTAGGAATATTTTACATTATTTGGATTTTCCTTGCAAGTTCCCTAACAAAATTCCATACAACTATGTCGTTCACCAGAGCTCGAACTCCTCCTCCCCCTCAAGCATTCACTATAGTCCCACCTGAACAAAACAAAAAGACGCAAATAAATAAATAAATAAATAATTATAAATATATAATAGCTTACCATTGGGGTGGATGACTTGGCCAGTTATGTAAGAGGAATCAGCGTTACAGGCAAGGAAGACGTATGAGGGAGCCACTTCAATGGGCTGCCCGGCTCGCTTCATGGGCACCTGAGACCCGAAATTAGCAGTCTCTTCCTCGTCGAAGGAGGCCGGAATCAATGGAGTCCATATTGGCCCTGGCGCCACGCCGTTGACCCTTATCCCTTTGGTGGCCAGCTGCAGCGCCAGGCCTCTAGTGAACGCCACAATTGCCCCTTTGGTGGCCGTGTAATCGAGCAGCTTGGCGTTTCCTTTGTAGGCGTTCACCGAGGTCGTGTTGATTATGGAGCTCCCTTCCTTCATGTGCTTCAATGCATGCCTATTAAACTCAAAACAACAAATCTTAGATACCATAAGATTTTCATATCGTCCAATTTAAATATGATACTGATCGAGATGTATTACTTATTTATAATCTCATGCTTGTTTACCCCCTAAATTAGCCAATGTGGTACTCCTTGCTACCTACCTGGTGGTCAAAAAGTAGGAGAAGATATTGGTTCGGAACACTCTTTCGAGCCTCTCCTCGTCGATATCTTCAATAGAGCTCGCCTTATACTGCTCGGCCGCATTGTTAACCAAAATGTCAATCCGACCGTAGGCATTGGCCACCTCATCAACCACCCTCTTGCAGTTTTCATCAAACCCCAAGTCAGCCGCTATAGCCAACGGGTTGTTGGCAGAGTCGTGTTTGGCCTTCTTAATCATTTCAATAGTGTCATTGGCGTCTTTCTCCTCCTGGGCCTTGACGTACGTGAAGGCCACAGTTGCGCCCTCCAAAGCAAAACAGTAACACACGGCCCGACCAATTCCGGAGTCCCCGCCCGCCACCAGCGCCACTTTCCCCTGCACCCATAAACCTCAAAACTGAAGACGAAACAGAGAGTTAAAGATGAAAATAGATTGAAAGGAAAGGTGCCTGAAGCTTATTGGCAGGCCTGTAATCTGGGCTGGTAAACTGTGGAGTTGGGTCCATGACGTGCTCTTTGCCAGGTTGAGCTTGTTGCTTCTGTGGAGGAAATTGTCGGCCTTCAGATGCCATGTTTCTCACTAACCCAACACCGCCGATGGCCCAACTGCGCGGAATGAAACTATTTCTAAACTCAGCACTGCGACAACCACCGAAGAAAGCAGAAGAAGAAGCTCCAATGGAGTAGGAACAGAGCCGAGAAAGCATAAACTGGAGGGGGGAAATTACGAGTTGATTGATTTAGAGATACAGGGGGGTTTTATACACGTGGAAATTCGAGAGGAATATATACGTGGAAAATGGGGTGATTGCTGAGTGTCAACGTGTCATCACCATCTCTTGCGGCTGACACGTAGGTCGAGTCTTACACACCCTCGGGCGTTCCGTGTCATCCTCCTGCGACTCCAATTTCCAATTGGCATATATTTCGATTGGCACCAAATCTCTTGAATAAATTAAAATAAAATTATGTGAAATTTTAATGAGATGTAATTTAACTAAGTATTTAAGTATTTAATCGCCCATTGTAAAATTAATCATTAAAATGTTAAAATTATGTGAAATTGATCATTATATTTTTAAAATTTTATTTTTTGAAATTAGGGTAATAAATAAATACAGAAGAAAATATAAAAACAAAAACAGAAATGTAGGGCAGCATTTGTTGGGGGAAAAAGAAGCGTGTGAGCAGAGGTAACATCAGAAAATTTAAAAAAAAAAAGGCTCAAATCCCAAGAAACGCACAAAAAATTCAAAGAAAACAGAAATTTGACGCTTTGAATTTTATATTTTTGTAGATTAATTTGAATTTGATTGAGCTACTTGTCATTATTATTATTAATCATGTAAAAAAAAAAATTATTGGAATTCGAACTAAAGAATATTTATTAATTATGGTAAATATATATATATTTTTTTCTCTTTTGAACTATTTCAAGTATGCATGCACAAACAGTAAAAAAAAAAAAAAGTAAATAAATTGTCGTTACGCTATTGTCTCATCTGTTCTCTCTAGTTGTTTGATTGTGACCCTTATCTCACTTTTTACTCGCACCACAATTGCTCTCAATCATTCCACCACCTTTACTTTTTTTTTTTTTACTTTTACTTTTAACCCTCCCCTCATTTTCTTAGATATTTTTCTATTTCCTTACTAGATTTTAGATATTTTCCCTCAAACTTCCATTTTCAAAATAAAAAAATAAAAATAATAATAATGAACAATGCTGGTTGGGTTTGATTTTTCTCGCGAAGCTTATAAAATACTCTTATAAGGAATTTTTTTTGTTCTTTTTTCAACTAAGATCTGGTAATAAATTACAATACTTTATAGCTATTATTACTTGGTTTTGTTTGACATCGACATTTTTTATTATTCATATTAAAGGATCACTGTTGGACGATCTAACTGCTACAACTAAAATTAAAATGCAACAATTATTTGAGAAAGATTTACATCTAATGTAACAATTAATGAATAAAAATAATGCATATAGTTACATAAGTGCATATAACAAATTCCATTAAATATATTGAAAATAATAATTTCATGGGGGGAAAAGTGGTTCTATTTGTTCGTTGTTTTCTCAAGCTTCATAGATACGAAATTAGTATTAGGGAAATCTTGTTATTAACACGTGATTAACTGCCTTTTAACTACTAAGTTACTGATTAACAGCCAGACCTCACAAGGCCCACAAGGCCCACAACCCCCAGAAGCCCAAAAGCCCACTCCAAAAATATACCCCCCGTCCCAAATTAAAGACGATAAAACAAAACAAAAACAAAAAAGAAAAAGAAAAAAACGGGAGAAATATTCCTCTACTACTGGTCCAGTGCATTAGGGCCAGTACAGTAATTTACCACATGATTCCAAACCCACTGGACCAAATACCTACGTCTGATCCCATTCATGTTGTACGTGGCCCCATCATGACCGTCCATCAACTGGCCCGTGTATGATCCTCCTCCTCCGGTCCCGTAAATCCCTTCGCAGAGATCGGCGATCTCCACCGGCGCTATTGGGTCCCCGCCAGCGTACCATGCGTTCACGAGTGGGTTCGATGCCAACTCCGCCACTTCATGAGCTATCACACTGATCATTCCATCCACTCCAACATCGCCGTTCGGCGATTTCATCGGCTTCAGCCCCGGAATGTAACTCGGCACCGCGAATGGGTAAGCACAAACACCGGGACAAAGCTTCTCCGAGTTCCCAATCCAAGCGTAGGGCAGTGTATAACCTACAATTGAAGGGAACGTGAAGTAATGAAACCCACAAACCTGCCCACAGAAATTCTCCACATAAACGTCATCGGAGGTCAGTAAAAGGTAGAGTCCGTTCCGGGCATTTATCGGCAGGGGCCGAGATTTCGCCGTGACGGCACTTTTAATCACCGACTGAATGGACATCCGAGTCAGCGATTTTCCATGGGAATAAAACCGGTCGTTCTTCTCTTCGCCGAGCCGGACCGTGCTCGAAATGTTGGCTCCGGTCTGGTCAGTGTAGAGCTGAACAGTCCGCCACCAGCCAGAGACAGACGGGGATTTGGAATGGGGAGCGGAGACGGAGTTGATGAACTCGCGGATGATCTTCTTTTGATTCCTCTGCCACGTGCCGTACCAGATAATGTGGACGGTTATATTAGCGGTGAGAACTGGGCCCATGTGGTACTTCAAGTGAACGAACTCCGACGAGCCCTCGTATTTCTTGGAGTCGGCGACGAGGGCGTCATCAGAGGCGTTGGATTTGGCGAGATGAGGCCAAGGGCGCCAGGCAGCGGCCGGAGTGAGGAGGAGGAGGAGCAGCAGGACAGAGATAGCGGCGGGCGGAACTAGTGAAGGTTCCATTTGGGGGGTTGAGGAAGGCTACAAAATGACAAGCGTGTGAGCTCCACATCTATTTATAAGAGAAGGGAATATATTTCAAAAATTCAAAATTTTAATGGATTTTATTAATTAATATTATTTTAAAAATAAAAGAAAAGGAAAAACAAGGCATTGATCGGCGAGGTAATGGAGGACAGTCAGATTCTTTTGAGGAAGCGAAGGGAAGAGCAAAAGTGGGGCCTACGCATCGCGGGAAAATGGATCCGGTCCGGTCCGGTCCGGTCCAGATGGGTATTTTCGACATTTCGTTATTTTGCTATCGCGTCTCTCATTTGATTAATAAAATCTATAATTGTCACATTTTAAGAAACATAATATCTAAATTAATGTAAAAGTCAAGATATGGTAAATAAATTATTTAATAGATTAATCATATAGAGATAGTATGGTAGTTATTAACAATAATTTGATAGGTGCTAAATTATTTTTTCAGTGATTTATGTTTCATGTTAATAATTGATTATTAAACGTGCTACTCACTATTTCTAATATTTACCACGTCATTTATTTTATTTTTTTTCTTAAACCGCTATATCTACGAATGTCCTTTTCTTATTTCCACTTTAATTTAACTAATATTAACATACTAATTATGATACTCATAACAATTATTTTGGTTATTTAAAACTAATAATGGAAAATATCATTAAATGTGATTCACTTCAATAAATATTCGTTTTTGCAGTTGAGAATTAGTTGGGATTTCAGTGATCGTTTTTTTAATGAAAAATTTAGATTAAAAAGTATATTAATAATTGAATAATGACGTGTAATTAACCGGTTTAATTGGAATCTCCTTCATCCGACGTGTACTTTTTTTTCCCACGTGGAAGCTTTGTTTATATATTTATTTATTATTAGAAACATGTATTTAATATTTGAGTAGTCATACTTCAATATTTTATTGAATAGGTATTAATATTATTAAATATGATTTAATGATTATTAAATGATATATATAAAATCGACTATTTTTGCCACCGTAACATTGATGTCTACTATAAATTATGGAAACAACCCAAAAAAAAATACGATGAATTAAATTAAAAAAAGAGGGCGCTCGTAACGCGAGATGGGTGACAAAGGGGTGTGGGACCGCCTCGCGGTGTCCTAAATTCCGGTGGCAGTCCTTAAAAGGAGGGCATTCTCGAACCTGTAATTTTTTAAATTTATTACAAAAAAGCAACCGGCTGACGTGGAAAAAAAGAACAGAGGGGTTTGCTCAGAAACGGACATTCGTAGTGTTAGCTCCATCAAAGTTGAAGGTGTTTTCATGATATCCGAAATCTGGACCGTCCGTTTCATCTCCGGCCCCACGGAGAATATTCTGGCGGGGGCATGTTTGAGTATTGGTCAATGTACCGATTTTTTTTAACTAAAATAATAAAAATTAATTTAAACAAGTCATAATTTTTTTTTTTTTTTTTGCGTTAATTAAGACGTTTAATCTTGATTAATTATTAATAATGAATGAATTATAATCAAAGGAGTAAATTGCGCGGGCACTGAGTAATGATGGATGAAAATAGCGTTGGCATTGTACAGCTCAGATTGATTGCGACGTCTTTGTGGGCCCCAGCTGCGATGACCCTAAACACGAACAAACTGTGAACACTCACTGGGGCCCACTCCACTCCTCCAAGTGGACCCCACTTTAGGGTAACGTGATTCAAACGCGTCATCACAAAAGTGGCGCGTTACTATTTGCTGTTCTCCACGCTCCTCTTCTCAACTAACTATATAACATATATGCCTTTGCCTTCATTTTTCCCAAGTTTTTTAATAATATGTTTATTATTTAAATTTAAATATAGTTCAATGGGTCAAAATGTTTATTAATTATTTATTGTCAAGAAAATATTAATGTATTTGGTAAATATGGAAAATAATTAAAAAATAAATAAACTTGACATTTTCTTTTGGTGGTCAAAGATGAATGAATAGTGAAATGGGTATGATTAATAAAAGTAGCAATAATAAAAAGAGGAGTATATTTAGGAATGGGAGTTGAATTGAATATGTGTATTTTAATATAAGGTAATGTAAGGCTGAAAATGGGGTCGAGTAAATGAGTTGAGTTGAGTTATATGCAAAAAATTAAAGTCCAATGTAATTAATTAGACCCACACCATTTAACCAACTAAATTACATCTCTCCTTTTACTTCACATTCTTTACACTCCATCCTTTCATTTAAAGATAACAACCCTACATTTAAATCAATAATGTTGGTACGGGTAGGACCTGTCTTTTGAAATTTTTATATATTTATAGCAATTTGTATCCCGGGGAATGTAATCTTCATTTCCAGTCTAATTTAACTAACAGAGATAAATCTTTCTCCGCACCTTCTCTCATTTTTCGTTTAAACGGGGATTCCTTATTTCAGAAAAGGTCTTTACGAGACATTCAGGTAAAATATACATATTTTTTAAAAATGATAAAAAGTATTAAATACGTCAACAAAATATTCAATTTCATGTCTAACCACTTTGCCCTACTTTGAAATTGGATTCAATTACCATTTTAGTCCGAACATTAGCTTCATAAGTTTTCAAAATTATTATACTTTGGGTTATGATACATATGTTCTCTCTCTCCACTAAAATAATTTAACCCACATCCAAATTGGTTTTCAACTTTTTACGGTAAATACTTACCACAAGTGATTTCTTTTATGAACAGCAGTAAAAGGCAAGGTTTCCCACAATCAGCTAAAAGTTATCTGAAAATCAATATTTACCCCAAAAAAGAAAAAGACGTAAAAAATGATGATTTTGAATTTTGATTGAACTAAAAGAAAAAGTAGATTTAATTAATGTTTGTGATGTGAATGATTACAAATTCCAATCTCTACGAGGGATTAATTATACAGTTTAATTATTTGAAATAACAACTAAATATATTCCTTGAAATAACAACTAATTTTAAAGATATAATACGAATTACTTTTAGACTAAAGTTAATATTTTTTAAGAATAGTTTAATCTTCTAGAAACTTTTATTACATTCCTAAACTTTCATTAATGGCGTACTGATGCGGTATATAGATTCGTGTTTATCTAATATCATAACGACTTGGCATAGAATATATGTACTAAAAAAATGGAGGACGTAAACTTAAGCTAAATTGAAGATCTCAGTTAGGTACGGGCAATTTCCCATTTAACGGCAGAGTAGCGGGCCGGCGGCCCATGGCCAATATTCAGGCCCATTAAGAGGCCCATAGGATGTATAATAACTTTTGGGTCGATTAGAGTAATAATTAAACGTATTTTATTTTTTTAAATCTTCATGAAAGTTATTTTTAGTAAAATCTTTAAATTGCAACGAGACAAAAATAATATATTAGAAATCTATATTTTTGATCTGCCGGGAGGGATTTAAAATCTTACCTACTAATGTGGAAGCGAGATGACGAATCTTAACGAACAAAAATAATTGGTGATCTGCAAAATTAATTGCTATCGCCAAAATGTGCGTACAGATTTACAGATGAACACACTGTAATGATAACACACTCCAATGAGAGTCTAGTGGGGCTAATTTCTTCAACTATGTGCGGCGCCATTAACCAACTCTGTGTTTAAATTTAGAACCAAATGCAATTTTGTTCTCGCCGTAGTTACAGAATTAAATCGATGTAAAGAACTATGGACTGGGCAGGGGCAGCGCGAACGCAGGCCCCCACTGCCACAAATTATGACGTAGGGCCTGCCACAAATCATGACGTAGGCTCTGCTACTTTGAACAGACCTTGGTCGGGCACCCCTCCCCAATGTGCAATGGAGGTCACCAACCCAGGCAATGAGCCTTCTTGATCGCTCATACACCCCGTCCAGGTAAGTGAGGAATCCGTGGCTACTCCGTTTCCTTTTATACACAGTCTGTCCATCTCATCTTCCGTCCTGTCCGATGTGGGACGAAAATAAAATATTTTGCTTTTCGAAAACTTACACTAATTCAACCCTAAAGAGGTCCCTGTTAGAGAGAGCTGAAGCCCTACTCGGAAAGGAGTTTCAAAGTGTAAATTGACTTATCTTTTGTATTTTAATTGAAGTGTAAATTTACTTATTTTTTATATTTTAATAGAAGTGTAAATTTAATTATTTTTATGTTTCAATTAAAATGTAAATTTCCTTATTTTTTTATATTTTAAGTGTAGACTACTAATCACTTAACCCTACTACAAAATCACTACCACAGCAGAAACGACTAAAATTGTTGAAGCTTAAGTTACCCCGAGAAAAAAAAAAAATTGGTCGTGTGATTTACAATTGAAAGAATCGTGATGTCTGGATTTAAAGCACTGCGTATTTAAAATCTCAATTAGGACAAATGACAGCTGTTGATACAGAATCTGCATAGATAATGTAATTAACATAGTTCTAGCGCAAGAAAATTTTGGCAGGAATAGAAAACTCTCTCAATGTCGTTAGCTTCAACAAATAATGGGAACAACTATTGCATTTAAACGCCACAAACCCTCACAGGTATGATCCAGACTCAAAAAGTAAGAACTGTCTAATGAGACTAAAAATAGGCAAAACATGAAAAGAGTGCATTCATTGATCGGCAATGGTGACCTCAACCTCCACACCAGGTTCAATGGTAATGGAGGTAATCTGCTTCACTACATCAGCAGAGCTGAAAAGGTCAATAACTCGCTTGTGGACACGTAGCTCAAATCTGTCCCAGGTGTTGGTACCTGCAATGAAAAAACAAGTGAAGGAATGATTTCAATAAGAATTGGGATGCATTTAACGATGAAATCAACAACACACTCGGATTAAAAGGTCTCAATGATTTTTAGAACCGATATTTCGGAAAATCATAGGTAAATGGAAAACAGAGTACCTTCACCGCATGGAGATTTTCTGGTTGTAATGTGAAGAACCTTAGTGGGCATTCTTACTGGTCCCTTGACCCTCAACCTCTTGTCCTTGGCACCACGAACCAAGTCGGCACAAACTATTGATTCAAAATGATGTCAAACG